GGCCGTGGTGAAGTCGTCCTCCATAGGCAAGCGCATCTGTTGTCCGTGTAACAAATGAAAAGGACTGTATCGGGGGTTGGAGTGCGGGATGGCCCTATGTGCCATCAGCACATAGTTCACGAATTCGTCCCAGTCACTCCCGTAATTATTAACATAGTGACTCAGTCTGGTTGAGTCCTAGGTGGAATTTCTCAACCTTCCCTTGCATCTGCAGGTTGAACGGAGTGGAATTAAGTCGCTTAACCTTCAGTAACTTACACATTTTCTGAAACAATTCCGACATGAAATTAGATCCATTATCTGATGATAGTGCCTGAGAACAACCCAACCGCGAAAACATCTCGGTAACAAGAGCGGGTGCGACTGTAGGAGCATCCTGCCTGGGAATAGCCTCTCGGTAGCGACTGAAATGATCGATAAATGTAAGAAGATATCGATTCCCTCTCCTGGTTTCCGGATAGGGGCTACTATAGATGACATCTCGAATGGGGAGGTAGTCTCTGGTAACTCTCCCAACGGTGCAATGGGTTTTCGCCCCGCCTTAAATTTTGCACATGAGTCGCACTGTTTCACATGGGTGTCAATAACCCGATCCATGCTAGGTCAAAAAATACGAGAAGTTAGGCTTAACCAAATCGCGAGTCCGTTTCACACCCTGATGTCCCGCAAAAACCTTATCGTGGTGCACCTCGATAATGGGCCGCGTCAACTTCTCACGTACAGCCAACCTGGCACGTCCCAAATCCGGTCCCACATACAAGAGCACATCCTCACTGATCAGATATTCGGATCCATTACCGGCCCGAACTAGGCTTTCAGTTCCTTGCAGTGTGCGTCCTGATGCTGGGCTGTGAAAACGGTCTCACGAGTGATCGTGTCGCCCAAGTTATCATCAAGTGGTTTCCGGTCTCCATCTGTAGTAACGGAAGAAATGTGACGCGACAGGGCAGTCCGCGTTCACATGTTTCGTGCCCTCCTTACGCTCAATTTCAAAATCCATCTCGTCAATCGGACACAGTGATGATTTTTGACAGTGATCAGCCACTTAAGAGCGGCATGATCAGTGATAATTTTGAATTTCAAACCATACAAAAAGCATCTATGAATTTGGGTACCAAATACAATTATAATTCCTTCTGCGTGGTGCTATAATTTTTCTCTGCAGCATTCAGCATGCAGCTAGCAAAACTGATCGGCCGTTCCTTACCACTATGTAGCCGACTCAAAATGGCGGAAATGGCGTTATCGGTAGGTGGACAGGAAATCCGTCCATTCAATTTCTAAACCCTTGTACGTACACCCTGGGGTTATGTAACTCTGTACTATCCGGGTCTCTACGTCGAACACTACCGTCCCGTTCGTAAACACCTTATAAGAGGGAGCTTCGAACCCTTCGGTTTCCCTTCAAAGGCAATCTTCAGCAGCGAGTCGACTTCCAAGCGCTTAAACTCATGCGCGTGCTCGTCTGTTCTATAAGGACTAATGTTAGTGTACTTGCGGAAGAAGGCCTTCACCAATGCCAACAAATGTGAGTCCTGTAAGGCCGTAGGGCTATTTGCAGCAACATGAATTAAGAGAACAGTGAACAAAGGTGCATCTCGGGGTCAATTCCCTTTCCACAAGTGCACTGTCCCCAACAACACATGGTCACCTATCAAACGTAGTCTTCCCTGCCTCGTACGGCATCACTGAGCAGTAAGGACTGCCCACAGGTCTCACTTCACGCAATCTCATTTGGTGCGTAAGTCCAGAAATTCGAGCTGAATTACAAAAGATCCCACCATTCGACACCAGTTTTGTTGTGCCACCAGGAGTTAATGGTTGCCCTGACCCCTCGGGTTGTCTGTGGATACCTCTTACTTGGCCCAGGGGACAAAAACACAACTACAGATGTATTGTGAAGCTAACAAGTATCAGAATTACAAGGTTCTACACTAATTTGATTTACAAGTCCTACTAATTTAACCTTCTACACCCTACATAATAAGCACCTTTTTGTTTTATATTCTTTTCCTTTTTACAACATTTAGAAATACGTAGGTAAGTCAATAAGTAAGTTACAAATGGATATAGAACTTAAACAAATAAGAGTACTGATTTGAAAAATGCTTTTATTTCTCAGCATAATCTCCCTGTACATTGAAACACTTGTCCCATTGTTTCATAAGCCCCTGAAAACCAGCAGCATGAAATTCTTTGGGCGTGTTCAAACGGCATGGCCTACCTCATAATGCATGACAGGTTAGGTTTTCACAAAGTCTGTGCAAGATGGGTGCCATGCATGCTGACCCCACAACACAAAATGCAAAGAATGGGTCTGGCATTACAGCATCTCAATCGCTACCACGATGAAGGACACGATATGCTAGCCTGAATTGTCACAGGTGATGAGTCTTGGATTCACCATTACCAGCCCGAGACAAAGTGTGCGTCAATGCAGTGGAAACATCCTGGGTCGCCTGCCAAAAAGAAGTTTAAGGTGACAACATCCTCCAGGAAAGTGATGCTCACAGTCTTCTGGGATCACGAAGGCATACTGCTCACCGCATTCCAGCCTCAAGGACAAACCGTAAATGCCGACTCCTACTGTAACATCCTCAGCGAACTTAGTAAGGCCATTCCACGAAAACATGCAACCTGTCATGCATTATGAGGTAGGCCATGCCATGTGAACACGCCTGGTTCCTACAGCAGCCCAAATAATTTCATGCTGCTGGTTTTCAGGGGCTTGTGAAACTATGGGACAAGTGCCTCAATGTACAGGGAGGTTATGTTGATAAATAAAAGCATTTTTCAAATCAGTACTCTTATTTAAGTTCTATATCCATTTGTAACTTACTTATTGACTTACCCTCGTATTTGCCAACAATTACCAACAGTGACCTGAATATGGGCAAGTACTCATTTAACCGTCTCAGCCATAGGGTGGTGACGAACAATAGTCCCTTCATGTCTTCCACTGACACACGCTCGGGAGTAGCTCCTCCACCTAAAATTCATCTCCAGTGCTAACGACTGGGATCTTTATGTTTTCCGGGGACGCGCGAGTGATACCCAAACCAGGAACCGCCCTGAAATCGTCGATTCACATTGGGTATTTGTGTTTCCTTTCCAAAGCTTTCCCATATATGGTCACTACTGCTGCGTAGTTGTTTACAAAATGCAGTTTGAGATCGGCTGACTGACGGAAACGGGACACCAATCCCGCTACTGGGATAAACTATTCTAATTAAAAAAAAAAAGGCCAACAATACTGGCACAACTGTTAACAGTTCTGACGCCAATCGATAGCTGGAGTATGTTACATGCAAACCGTTCTCTTCTTAAATTTAAATGGGTAGATTACGACGTGACGTAGAGTACAATATATAATTTTCGAAGGATGATTATTCATTTGGTCATAAAGTGAGGAATGATATTTCATAACGGTGAACTTAGCACCTCTCTAGGAACAAAACTCGTAAATGAATTCAGTACCGACATGCGCGGACAACCTGCAGTTGCCCGAAACACAGAGACCACCACTGTGACCACTGGTTTTTCACTACAGCCTTTCAAAAGAGCCCTGTCATCGCTAGGGCCAGGACCTGTCTGAGGTCCTATTAATATCTAATAGCTCCACCCACGCAGAGCTTAAGAACTTCATTCAATACTCAGCCAGAAAGGGGCATTGGAAAAGTATGTGGTAGGAGGATTCTTCGTCCTGTTCATATTTTCTGCGATCGGAATCTGGCCGTAGGGCTGCGCAGAAAGCCAAAAGAAAGGACCCGGGGAAATTGCGAATCCCGGAAGAAACTGTCCGCCGCCGGCATGAAGATGACCTGTCGTGTAGTACTAGCACGGCGCAAGATACGTTTCGTTAGGACGAATCGGGCGAGAGACAGGGCCGGATGTTCGGAAGGAGCGGCAGCATAAACTGGAACGCAAAAGTGGAATTAAGGACCGAGGCCTGAAATAGCAACTGCTAAGTTAGATGGAATTCACCAAGATCTACAATAAAAAATCACTGGCTGGAAATCGCAGAGCGAATAGCCGGATCTTCTGTTGGGTTACGAAATATCAGGGATTGGACATTGTCGAAGGGTCGGCCCTCTCCGAAATGGAAAGAGATCGCGCATAGAGTAGGAGCCAGAAATATGGAAGCACAGGCCATTCGGGAGTTTTGCCCCCATTGGTGAGAAAAAAGAAGAAAAACTTTGGACGATGGTGATACACCTGAACTGACTAAAACCTTCTCAGAGAGCCACCCGGGTCAAGTGGCCTTAAGGAGCGAGCAGCGGGAGCGCTTAAAGAGTAGTCACCTCAGGGAAAACCGAGCCATGAGAAGATGAAACCAAGCGCAGACTGCGAAGAAAAGGAGATACCCCTGTAGGCTATTCGAGATGAAGAGCCTTAAAGAGGGAGCAATATGACATACAGACCCATTGCTAGGCAACTCCCACAACATACACGCATCCAACAATACAGCGGTGGTATTTTCTGTGCTCTGGTCCAACCTGAGGCTATATAACAAGAGAAGAAATCCTGAAATACATCACAAGATAGCACTGTTAATGACCCCAACAAAACTAAGCATAACTACTACAGATTATAATTTTACACCCCAAACTGCAATAGAACTGAACTTTAATCCCTTGGATACCAAGAGTCAATTAAATCGGCTCAGTGTCACATTTGCCACAGCCGAAGTGATCAGTTTCACGTTTATCACCTAATATAGCAATTGTCAGTAGGTGACATTGAGGGTGATATACTGCTACTTAAAGGAACGAAACAGGTTGCCAACTGAAACATAGCTGTAGTCACTTGTAGGTCATCTGAGGAAGTATTGTGGGCTTTTCTGAGCAACTGCATTTACCTTCCAGCACCCTTTACACTTCTAGCAGGTAGTTTCTATGTCAGGGCTTGCCAGTCAAAAGGTTAAGCTGGCAATATAAGATATACATACCTACATTTTCATACTACCATTCTGAAAATAATTAATTTGTAATACATTCAACTGAGGTATCATTTCATGTATTTTAAGTATGAAATGTACATAATTTTAACATTCATTCCTTTATTCTATGAAAAACTTAAGGAACACATTTTCGTTGAACATACTAACTCAAACTTGCTACCTAAATACTCTTACTAAAAACATACAAATATAGATGCAAGGATTCCTCCTTTACGGGTAGTAAGTATCTTCAAACTTCTGCCTGAATTTGCCTGGTTCTCTGAATTTCTTGGGTATATACTTTGGTACATGTTCGTCGTATCTCCTCATGAAGGGGTGAACATTTTTCAATTCAAATGGTCTCCTTCGAGCTTCAAGTGGTCGTGTCTTATGCCTAATCTTATATATTCTTTCCCACTGGTATATTTCATAAGGAAGAACATGGCGTGGTCGAGTAGAATACATGTGCTTGAATTCAGCTTCAAGCCACTCCCTTCTCTTGTCTTCAGTAATGTCCGCAATATGCTTCTCTACATCCCCAAGATAAGGCTTCATTTCTACTCCTTCTCTAACTTTTGGAGTATTTAAATAGAACTTCAGCAAGTATTTCAGAACATCATCATTGAAACCTGAAAATTACATACACAATGTATTACATTGTAAAAATTAATACTTTCCCAGTTCAGAACACTTCTTTGTAGCTCAAAGTTAATTCAAGAAAATGTATGCAAAACATTAAATTTCAATTGTCAACAAATTCAGTCAGTTGATACAGGTAAACCACATACGCCATTATACAACGAATTTAATGCTAATTTTAATGTTATAGTAATAATCTCAACTGTTGCAATACTACTTTAACAGTGAGAAAAAATTATACAGAACAAGCATGGGAATGTGAGCATGAAAAAAACAAAACTAAAGGGTGGAAATTTGTCAGGTTTACCTATAACCTTCCCATCTTCGATTGCTTCAAACAGTTTCAATTCTGGTGTCCCCCAACACAAGTTGTGACGTGGATTATTGGAGGTATGTTCACCATGCAGCAAAGTGGTGTTCAGTTGGTAAACATAGAAAGACCACAATTTTCCATTGGTTATCACAGTCTGTGTCACAAGGGGGTATGTCACATCATTGAATGTTGAGAAACCTGCACAAGGAAAGTGAGAAGATATTGCAGCTGAGCTCAGATATTTCTTCCACACATTCTTGTAACAAAAATCAGCAATCAGTGTATTGGAAGCATCGAAGTGTTGCACACGACTAATGTCTTCTATGTGAGTCTGTCTGCTTAAACTCTGTTGATTTTATTGCCCTTGGTTCAGCAAACCTGGTCCAGAGCCCCAGTAAAATTCAACAAACTACTTTCATTTTCACATAAATCTATTTCATGCTTATGTAAGCTTTTAAATAGCATTTTGGTTCCTGAAATTGAGCCAATACCTTTGTGTATTCAATATTTTGTTTAAAGACAAGATTTTAAGTCCTCAAAGAGCATAATGACTTATTTTGTCTATTAATTATCTAATCACAAAACATTTGACCTTAAAAAGCATTAATTAAGAATCATGTCATGCAGTTCAAGAGTACTTTTTGAGTCACTTAATATTCACATTTGCTGTTTGATGAAGTTTTTACAATTTTCACATTCAATCAAACAGCCATCTATAGATCACTGAACTCAGGATATTACTGGCACATGAACAGAAATGAATGGTAAAATATTAAATTGTATCACAGAATATGAACCAATACATTGTAACTACAGAACACATACAACACCTGGAGCCGATATGCACGGTATATAATAATCTCAAGATTTAAAATGTGTAACTTTAATTACTTTATAACATTCTAATAACAAACATAACAAATATGGACTCCTAATTTAAAACTACGCTTTCTTTTTGCCAATGATATCACAAACATTTGTTTCACCCATCTGATCTTCATCTGAGTAACACAGTAGTTACAAATTCAGACATTTTACTACCACATATGTCATCAATTTACACTCTTACTCCCTGGAACAGAGTCATTCTTAAGGAGCTAACAGTTGCTCAGCTAGTCAACAAATTCCCCGCCTTTTAAAGTATCATTATCACACCCATGAGAGTCCATCACTGAAATCTATCATCAGCCATTTAAATTCCCTCTGCACCCTCAAAATATATTCCTTCAAGATCCTCTTAAATATTATCCTGCTTATCTATGCCCAATTCTTGCAAGTTTTTTATTCCCTTCATGTTGTCTGATCAAAATATTTCATAGAGATTTAACCACTTAAGATGCCTTCAAAGCTTCAAGTTTGATAATATTTGGTAAAGAGTGTACATATTAACAGTCTTCAAGTGTATACAATCCCATTTACCACTTCTACACTACATGTTTCGGCACTATGCTGCCATCTTCAGGTGTATCGATCCATCAACTATTTCACTGCTTGCCTTTATGTGTCCATTTACAAATAATATTAAATTTGTATACGTCCTTATATAATAATAAAGTTTATGTATTTAAAACTTACTAAAACCTATTCCCTCATGTCATATTTTGAATTCGTGTGTATTATTAATCTTCCACATGGGGATCATTCTTCTTATGTTTCTAATGTTGTGTGTATATTATGTCTTATGATGTGTTCTACTCTTGTGTTTGCGTGCATTGTATCATTGGATCCACATCCAACACATCCGAAATATTTAGAAAAAATCAGCCCACAGTCACTGCAAAAACTTTCTCATATGATGGACCTTGACCATGCTGCCTTGGAAAGGAAATAAATCATTGTTCTGTGGACCACTATTGGTTAGGTACTGAATGCTGAACAACAATGAAATATGTCTGACTAGTTAGAGCAGTTTTGTCAAAATATTTTACACTTGCGGCACTAGTGTGTGTACCATTATTCTCCTGAAGATACCACTTGTGCAGCTTCATTTGCAGGTATGGGATCCATAATTTACTGAGATTTAAACAGAATCATCAGAACTATCTTGAGAAAATAGCCATTTTGTGTTTTGGTGCCCATCTCATGGGCCCTTATTTCATATTCAACGAATGCTGACTGTGATGGATAAAATCTTAAATGCCAAATACAAATAAAATCCATCCAATCATTCATGTGCTAGTGAAGTGTCTGTCCGTCCATCCATCCACCCACACACACATACATACATACATAGATGGCAGAAAGACATTATAGCAAAAATCACTCTTTCTTATTAAGAGGGGCTCAAAACATGTATATCCATCAAAGTTTGAAGACTGATTTTTCTTGCAATCACAATTCTGTCTCACATGTACCACATACTAGTATATGAGAAAGTAAAACGGGCCATCATGATGAAGTTATTAAAAGAATTAACCTGATTTTTACTTTTCCCTTACAAGTCTCCTCATATGCACACACATACTTGTCGGAGCAGGAATAGCTCACTCAGTATAGTGACAGGCTATGCACTATGGGCTGGGGAGCCAGTGTTTCACTCCCAACAGGAATAAGATATTTTCCTCTTCTCCAGTCTCCAGACAGGCTCTGTGGGCTACGCAGCCTCCTATCCAATGGGTACTGCAGGCTCCTTCCCTCAGGGTAAAGTGGCTGGGAATAAAGCTAACCACTCACCTCCATGTATTCCCAAGGTCAACAACAGTGGAACTATACCTCCACACCCACATACATTCTCACAGCAGTCCTTAATTAATTAAGCATGGCCACAACTTTGCCTTTTCTATTTTGGTCTGCTGAAGACCTTACTACAAAAGAAACAATGTATATAAAGTATTACATTTTTACATGTTGTGCAAGTTGTAAGGTTAATCTGCATTCATTCTTCCCCAAGTTACAGCAGTTTCACATTATCTCATATTATGAAGACAGTAAACAGAAAACCATGGAACCTATAGATATACTGTATACTCATATACATATTTAAAGCATGGTCCCACCCCCTCACCTGAGGATGGAAACATATCCAGTTTCCAAAACATTGTGTTCTCTAGTATTATTCAGAATACCACATGATGGACTATGTCCAAAAACCCAGTAATCCCAAGTGTCATATGCCACTGTCAGAATCCTTTAGAATGTACTTGAAACTAAGAGGTTAAAACATATGGACATTAGATAGTTCATGTAGGCAATACGAAAGCCTTTTATTACAGAGTCCTAATCGTGGCTGTTTATCTTTTACCTTGATAACATGCCTGGGGAAGAAGCCAACCAAAGGAGGCAAGAATGGCTTGGACATGAAGAGCATCTGCTCTGTCCTCTTCACCATACTGTAGCAATCGCTGATGCATGTGACCTCGATGATGAAATGATAAGAGCCCAAACTCACATGGATCTCCTGGCCAGAAACCTGTACCAACATTCACAGTTGCACTCATTTCAGGTGTACTGATATTGAAACCTCATATAAAACACTATCATAATCGCAGATTATCAATACTAACCAGGGATGTTTGTTCCTAACCGACGATCATCATGAAATCCTATGACTTTGGGATCATAAGAAAAAAATGGAACATCAAACTCAGAGCTTTCAGATTCATTCATCTGAACAACAGCAGGTAACGGTAATTCATGTCGCAAGTGGAAAATTGGAGAACCAAGATATTGGAACCATCTGTCAATAGGTTCACCAGCTTCATCTTTGAGCCAGGGCACATTCTCTTTGTGTTTCCTAAGGAAGGTAGGCGGATTCATCCCTCCAACAGACCAAAATGATTCAATCCGTGGATCTGTTTCAACCTGAATCAGAGAAATATTAATGACTATTTTATAGGTTTGTGACATTGGCTGTCATTTCACAATAACTATATTTGACACAGTGCACTGTCTGATCTGTAATGTGACATTACAGATGAAAAGTCGTCCACTGCTAGGCAACAGCAATCAAATAACGCTTCCACAGCATTGAACCAACTCACAACAGAGAAATTGTTGGAGAGTCAACACACAACAGCAGAAGAATTGCTGCAACAGTAGATGAGTTGTGGTAAATGCCTGCAAGACACATGGTGCCTTCAGAAAAGTTCTTTGGTGCCTGCAATAATTTTAAAATATTCAAAATAATTTCTTAATTATTCAGTGATCACAAAACACGTGGTGATCTCCACTCTATGAGCTATATACATATCCCTGATGAGAATTTCTAAATGTTTAGATTTGGATTTAGTAACATTTTATAGGAGCACTTACTATTCTTGGGTATATTTTGTGGAATAATATGCTGAAGTAATATGTTGGAAAATACCATGATATTGGAACACAAATGTGCAGACTGTACTGTCACATATTAGTGATCAGACATGAAGTTTGGATTGCTAGTAACCTAGTAACTACAATTATAACACTACCACTAACCTACACACTTGGGCCGCACCATAGCTCAAGCGGTTAGTAGCTGGCTTCCCACCACGGAGGCCCGGGTTCGATCCCGGGTCTGGTCAAGTGGGATTGTGGTGGATAAAGTGGCGCTGGGGCAGGTTTTCTCCGAGCACTTCGGTTTCCCCTGCCAATCTTCATTCCACCAATTGCTCCACAATCACCCTCACCTATCATTTGGGGCTGGTACAAGAGACCAGAAGTGGCCGCAGTACAAGGGACTTAGTCCCACCCCACTAGCATTAAAAAAAAACCTACACACTTAACAAATCATGATAGCACATGCTGTCTCAGCCTCTTATACTCTTCGCTAGTTGTTGCCTGGTAACAACGCCAAACAATGTAGATTCCCCTGCTTCTGTACTCATGTTCTTACCAGCTGGCAACCATCTCACAATTGACTCATGGTAGCAACTAAATCTCCACTGCCTACTTCGTCTGACAGTTCTCGCCATACAGCCTAAGCATGGGCCACACAGAAAACACCACCTCCCACAGTTCTTCTAGTGTTGCATGCATATCTGCTGCCATGAACACATTTGCTGACCATTCCCTAGCAAAGGCTGTCTCTTCAGGCTTTCACATCACAATATGTAATCTAACATTATGAATTCAAATGCCCTTTCCAGTACATTATTTATATGGTACCTCCTATGATTCATAATCATCCGTCTATTTGCCCACCGTCTAAAAATCCTGGTGACCCTTCAGTTAATGGTCGGGTGGACAGTAATTCTTATTGCTCAAGTACTGTTAAAGCAATATTGAAAGTTAATGTACAGTATTTAAATGTTATATCACAGGATATAACAACCAAACAAAAAATACAAAGATGTTTAAATACAGAATATCTGTCCTTTACAATATTCAAATCAATGCAATTAAACCCTTACTGTATGAAAAAATGAATACATGAATAACTGTCACAATTCAGTACTTTCACTACCAAGAAGTGACTTTACAGCCAATGATGTATATAAAATTCCATGAATGCATTCAGAACATATCTATAATCCATTTGGCATACACTTTCAACCCTTGTTTTATTAGTCTGAAATGTATTAAAATTGGTCTGACTTATAATTAGGTAATTTTACCTGGCACTTCACAAGATGGGGAACTTTTTTTGATAGATTTCCCAATAGAATTCTGTTGACTTGTTGTAAAATGGAGGTTCCCATAATATTATCCAACTTTTCGGCAGTTATGGGTCCTCCTTCATTATGCAAATATTCATGCTTCCGGCTGATGGAAAGAAACACTCACAGTTACAATAGAAACCTAAAAGGCAGTAATTTGCCTTAAATACTGATTTCAAACATATTCTGATACTGAGAACATTGTAAGCATCTTCTTGTATAAAACTAGGAGTAAAAAAATTATGTAATTTAAGACAAATTTCAGATTTACTCCACATGGATTTGCAACACTTTATTTAATACCTACCTAGATACAGAGTAAGGTCATGTTGAATGAAACACAACAAATTAAATAAACAGGCAAGCTTATTTAATGTGATTTTGTTATTAATACTTGTGACTTACATGTCACATGCATTCAACCATGATCAACTGGTACCACTTCAGAAACATAAAACACACTGCTGACTAGAAACAGAAAGTGATCCAGCAATGACACAAGACATTTATTTCCATCTCTCTCAGTGCAACCATTTTGCATATAACCATAAATGCACTTTCTTACGCCTCCCTTTACTCCTTCCACAGATTTTGCTGAAATTTCACATCGGAGGCTTTCACCAATTTGCACTTCACTGTTCAGATTTTTAAGAAAGTTTCAAAGAATGGTGTTAGTAATTTCATTCACTGCATTACAGGAGTCAAGCTGGGATAGCTCAGTTGATATAGTGATGGGCTATAGACGGAGAAGCTGGGGTTTGATTCCCAGCAGGAGCAAAATATGCATTTCTATTCCAGTGTTCAGACCAGCTCTGGGGCCTTCCCAGCCTCTCATCCCATGGTACCTGAGGCTCACCCCCCAAGCAGTTGGGGCATGAGGCTGACTACTCACATCCATATAGTGCCAAGATCATGAATGGTGAAGCTATACTTAAACTCTCTATAGGGGTACACCCTTTCCAGTCTTATTGTACATATAATTTCAAATGTTGTATTTTAGCGTCCTGTTGCACTGATTTTCATCCATGATACATATGTAATGGCCATCTTGTAGTGCACTCAATTTCATATGTCGCTTCTTACTACATGTTTCGGCAACATAGTGCCATCTTCAGGTTCGTTATTTACGCTAAGCTGTTACATTGTTTGCTATCTCGCTTCTTACAACGCTCGCAGACAAAAAGGAAGGACACATCACAGACACAGTACACACAGAAATGACTCCCATAGTGGATGAACCATAATATATGCGAGTCGGAATTTAGACATATAGATGAATAATCTTAACAAGTTTTAGTATATACAAATTTTATTATAGTTGACGAATAATGTACTTTCTAAATCATTTTATAAAAGACACAAGATGGCAAACAATGTAATAGCTTGGCGTAAATAACGAACCCAAAGATGGCACTATGTTGCCGAAACATGTAGTACGAAGCGACATATGAAATTGAGTGCACTACAAGACGGCCATGGATACAATTTCAAGTTAAATTAGAAAGACAAAATCAAATGAGAAGAACTGTTTCATGTACCATGTGAATACAACAGCTGTTTGTACATCCCTGCTTCTGGGTGTATCACACCAAAAATCATTTCTGGAACTGCTGGCACTATAATGACATGCAATCTGCTGAAAGTCAACCAGCACACTGGTTGACTTTCAGCAGACTGCATAGCATTATATCCCAGAACACAGGACTCTTCATAACCATCTCTGCGAGAACTCTATGTTTATGTAAGATCTGAGGGGTTCATGTCGGTGACTATGAACAATGCCGTCTTCTGGGATGTGGTACCATGTAGATCTAGTGTAAACTGATTTTTCAGAGGAACGTTAGTTCACACAAGATCTACATGGCACGAAATCCCAGAAGACGGCATTCACAAAACCTCTGTTTGTTCACAACATTTTTCAGTCCAACAAATAATTAACGAGTTTCGCACAGAAATAAACATAAGTCTTCATATAAACTACCCATTATTGATGTACAGTTTAACTAAACTTGGAATATGTTAACAGATTTTAGTAAAAATATCAGGTATCTAATTCCATAAAATATATTCAAGTCTTCAGTTGTTATATCCTCAGAGACAGATATGGTAAAGCTATCAGTCACATTTTTGCAATGTTTTGCTGTAAACCTGTCACAGACACATCAGACCCTATAAATAATAACATCATTATCATTACTGCACTCATATTTTCAAAAGACAAACATTTTTAAACAATAACTAGACTAACAAGAGTGTGAATTTTATGAAGTGGCAGATGATAAGAGCAGAGGCATTTTTTGAAGTCTTCAAGCAATTTTGTGGAACAACAAAAAAAGTATGTATGTTTTGAGAAAATTGTATTTGAAAATTTTTGCAACCATTGCCAGAATGACTCATGAAGACTTTGAACATAGCTCTGCACATAATTGGACTGAAGAGGCTGGGAGATTACATAGTCCATATTGATCCCTTGTGAGGAGAAGCAAGTTACCAGACTTGACATAAACTTCAGAAATCATTAACTAGTGAAATCCTCCAACTGTTCCACTCAAGGAATAAAAAATAAAGAACAAATAAAATGCAAGACGAGAACATGGAAATTTCCGTTGGTGTTATGAAGAAGCCTGTCACACCAAACGCTAACATAACTAACTTCATCGTGCTGAGCCATTCTTGAGAAACTGTCGGTTGTGAAGCTACTCAAGAACTCCCCAGCAGTTTATGGAACCCCAAAGTTCACTACAGTGTTCAGAAGAGCCCTCCACTTGTTCCTATTCTGAGCCAGATCAATCCAATCCATACCACCCCATCTTATCTCTCTAACACCCATTTTAAGAACCACCCACCTACAACTTGTTCTCCCTAATGGTCTTTCTTTCTGACTTTCCCATAAATACTATATGCATTCCTCTTCCCCCATTCATGCTACATGCCCTGCCCATCTTATCTCATTCACTTGATCATTCTATCTGGCGAAGAGTACATGTTATGAAGCTCCAAATAATAATATTAATAATGAGGTAAAAGAAAAGATAAAGGTAAGGTTGTCCCTGTACTTAACTAAGAAAGCACTAGGCCATGAAGGCGTATAGGGGTGTGGCTGTACAGACCCACATTTTCTTGACCTTGGCACTAGTTGGAGGTGAGGGGTCACTTTCACACCCCTGCCGCTTTACCCCCAGGGAAAGAGCCCCCAGTACCTACTGGACAGGAGACTGGGTGGACCCCCAAGCAGGTCTGAACAACACGGAGAAGTGAAAATTCTTGACCCCACTAAGACTCAAAACTCCAACCCCTCGGTCATCCAGCCAGTAGCTAGTCACTATACTGACTAAGCTATCCCAGCTCACCCAAGTAATGATAATAATAATGATGATTAATAATAATAAGAAGAAGAAGAAGAAGAAGAAGACTTGCAGAAGAAACTGTAAATTGCTTGGATGAAAAAAGGGTCTTTATATTGTTTGTATGTGAATGAGAGGATTCACCTCCTTGCTAATGTAACAGAAACAATTTGTTTTGTTGTGTTTCCTGCAGGGCATTGCCGAGAAATACCAATGGGTTGCAAGACAAGCTGTAAATATAACTAAAATATTAAGGTATGGTTAGGCAGTCATAAGGATCACTTCTACTCCAAAGATGAAAATAATGAGTACACCCTACAGAAGCACATGGTGTTGAAATCCACAAAATCACAATCTTAACGTTAACTACTGTGAAAACCTTCATTTCACGTCTGGGTTCGGTTAGGCAATTGTCATAATTCATCTGGGCGAAAATTATAAACACTTTATCCATTCCAACACACATCTTCCTGTTCATTTTAATATTGATCCATTTGCCACCATGGCAGGCAGTGTTAAAACTCTGGATCACCTCCTGTGGGATTGGAAACAGTTGCTACTTTTCAATAAAACGGTAATATAAAATGAAAGTTGTCCCTATGTAAGCACCAAGCCAAGAAGATGTTTGGTGGGGGGGGCAGGGGTTGAGGTATAGATCCACCATTTTTAACCTCATCACCAGGATGTGAGTGGTCAGCTTCACGCCCTGACTGTCTTACCCCTAGGAAAGAGTACCCGGTACCCATTAGATAGGTGGCTGGATGGGCCACAGAGACGGTGTGGACGTTTTTGAGTACAGAAATCGAACCCCAGCCATCCAGCCTGTAGTGGATACTCACAATGCAGCGGTTGAAAGTAGTGTATAAATAATAATTATTCACAGGGAGCTACGGAAGCTTCGGCGGCGAAGATGGGGGGAAATAAAATTTCAGTCTTCGGTAATCCCTACCTTACAACAGATACGATACCTTCGGTATTTAAATTCGAAGATGAGAGCCTCCTCGATCCGTGGTTTGACCTGTCCCAATAATTTATTTGCGTCTTCTTCGAGATTTGTTGAATAGGGAGCCAAATCTTTGAATTCCCTTAGGTGTGTCCTTGTAACATGTTGGACGAAGGGCAGTGAGTCGTAGGGTATTGATCCTTCTCTCAGCATTATTGACCTCCATCCATAATATCTAGGCATGTTAATTTCAAACAGTTTTTCTTCCACAGTTTTAATTGACTTTATTTTTTCATGCCACTGATTTTCCATTCGCTGCTTACGTGCTTTATACGAAATATCTAATATTGGCGGATACTGGGGAGTATCGGTGTATTCTTGTTCATACTTCAGAGGTTTTATCCTTATTGTGGACCTCCTAATAGTAGTTCTACAATGGTGCCACCGAAATCGCCCCATATTAAAAATACACGCCAAATAACCTCCAAACACCAGGAATTATCAGTTAAAAACACACACACAGACTACACCTAGAATACACTTCTCATGCTTCGGTTAACATCATTAGATCATTAGCGATCCTAGACTTCGTAGCCGTTCGTAACAACACGACGACTCGATCGACTCGATTATCTAACGCATATTAACGCACCAACAGTATAGACAACTTTTACGACTAGAAAGTACGTAGTTCACCTTGAATTCAACATTTCTTATTCCCAGTTGCAGTGATATGTTTCCACATCCCTCTTAAACGCCAAGTCAGAACGTCAGAAAATGTTTAACTCGCATTCCCATTCATAAAGAAGGGCATCTACGGGACTAGAAAATAAAATTAATGCCTTATTACTGAGTTTGCCTTAATTAAGTGTAGGAATCAATGCCTCTGGCGTGCGTGGTTTAGGAGATTCATGTCATGTCTAAATTTCTCTATTCTGCAATGCAAGTAACAAAAAATAATGGCCCGGTGTGTAGCAGTCTAATACTTAAAGGAACAGTTAAAAACTTCAAGTACAAAAAAGGCCTACCTGGCTACTTGCTGTTCAAATGTTGGTGTTATTGGTATTTAAACACACATAGAACACGGACTTTGGAAACAGTTTATGCTTGAGGAAGTGGTGACCGGTGGTGACTATCATTTTTGTATAATTTGAAGAAAATCATAGGTAGTACTGTTACATATGCTTATATTATCTCTATTACACATTAGGGTGCCTAGTTTTAAACTATGAGAGTACCTATGAAATAACTGGACTTTGAAACATGCAGAAAATCCATAACCTCTTCGTAAAATGCAGTAATATTAATTTCAAAACTGTAAAAACTGAAGTTATGTATTACTGACTTGTCCTGTATCATGTAACAATGATCTATAGAGACAAAATAAATAAATACTTATAGAGTTATTATAAATTGCCGGTAGGAAGGTAAAGGTCAAATAGTAGGACGGTTGCGTATACTCTTATAAGTTGTATGGCCTAGTCTTTTTCATGCATTGTATAACCGTCTGTCGACACCGCACTATAATGAAGGTCCGGGTTTTTAGACCTTTCAGACATACTGTCCTTGATTTAGTATTCACAGTGGTATAACGTCCAAGCATTTATTATCTTTGTGTTTACCTTTGGTACACGTTCCATACTTGTTATATAATAACCACTGTTGGAGATTTTATACAATGAATTGCCAGATATATAAAAAATTTCATTATGTAGGGAACTTAGGTTCAAGGGGCCGTGAAATATATGGTTGCACACCAAACTCCAGTAGTTTCTTCAGTTACATTCATTTTATAATATAGAAGAATTGTTTAATTATAGGGATAAAATAACTCAATAATTGATTTTATCTATATATATATAATCAAGTGTATATTTTAGATTTTTATAGTTATATTGCTGTTTTACCACGTTATGGTGTTTATTAAAAAAATCTAAAGGTATATTTTATTTTCTGATACACTAAAAAGTTCTGTCCTTATGTGATCAGTACATAAGTTGAATGATCATGTATTTATAACATCCTCATTCAAATTGTATATGGAACTATAGATTAAATTATCAGGCATTGAAAAGTGACTTGTAAATTTTATATTTACATTATATCTTTTATTACAAATTTATAATGAATACATACTTGTTTATATTATATATTGTTTCTGTTTTATTGGACTGCGTCCTAAGACCTTGTATTGGATTTGTGGCATGTAAATAAATGAAATGAAAAAATTAAAAATACTCCAGTTGCACACAAAATGACAATTACTCATAATGGTTTCAGCTGCAGCAGATCCAGAATGCTGGAAAATAGTGAATGAGTGGAGATACAACTTACAACTATGTTTTTTTGGAAGAAAGTCTTCCCTTTCCGTTTAGCCCATTTATGAGGTACCTGATTCAAGTGCAAGTTACGCGTTCAAATTTACATTGTTGAACTGAACATGATTGATACATGAAACATCATGTTACCATGTCAGAGCTGGTCACAGAATGGGAAGAGACATTATTCTTAAAATCATATTGTTTCACGATGAGAAAAGAAGCTTCTACTGAACAAAGAGACAAAGACAGATTTTGAAGGATTTGAGGTCTTCACAGCAATGGTTGCTTGCCACCTGCTTCATGCTGGTTTCTTGCATGGCTCAATCTTCGTCCCTGAAGATGGAGGTGACATATTCCTCCAGAATGTCAGCAGAGTACACAGCATTATGTCCTGGAATATAGAAGTGTTCAAGAGAGACTTTAATTTAGAGAATACCAGTTACAATATACATAGGCGAGTCAAGTGAAAACCTTAAATATTTTTTTGAGTATTATTTATTGTGCACAAGTGGTACAAAGCTGTATCACTTTTCAACATGTTCTCCCCCATGCTCAATGCAAGTCCTCCAGCACTTACAGAGTGCATGAATTCCTTTAGAAAAAATTCTTTTGGTAGTCCGCGCAACCACTTGTGCACCGCGTGGCATACCTCTTCATCAGAACGGAACGTATTTCCTCCCATTGCTTCTTTGAGTGGTCCGAATATACGAAAATCACTTGGAGCAAGGTCTGGTGAGTATGCCGGATGAGGAAGACACTCAAAATGCAGGACATTGATTGTCGCAACTGTTGTACGGGCAGTATGGGGCCTTGCATTGTCATGTTGCAAAAGGATACCTGTGGACAGCCATCCACGTCGCTTTGATTTGATTGCAGGCCGAAAATGATTTTTTAGGAGATCCGAGTATGATGCACTAGTGACAGTGGTCCCTCTAGGCATGTAGTGCTCCAAGATGATGCCTTTTTCATCCCAAAAGAGAGTCTGCATAACCTTCCCTGCTGATGGTTGTGTTCGAAACTTCTTCGGTTTTGGAGATGAGGAATGGCGCCATTCCTTGCTCGCTCTCTTCGTTTCCGGTTGGTGGAAGTGAACCCAGGTTTCATCCCCAGTAACGATTCTTGCAAGGAAGTCATCACCTCGTTCAAAGCACCACAGAAGTTCTTCACAAGCATCAATACGTCGATCTTTCAGTTCAGGAGTCAGCTGCCGTGGCACCCATCTTGCAGACACTGTGTGAAACTGGAGCACATCGTGCACAATGTGGTGTGCTGAACCATGACTAATGTTTAAACTTGCTGCAGTTTGATTCAGTGTCACTGGGCGGTTTTCCCTCACTATGGCTTCAACTGCTGCAGTGTTCTCTGGAGTCACAATTCGATGTGCCTGACCCGGACGAGGAGCATCTTCCACTGAAGTCACATCATTTGCAAACTTCCTACTCCATTCGTACACTTGCTGCTGTGACAAATATGCATCACCATACTGAAACTTCATTCTTCCATAAATTTCAATAGGCTTCACACCTTCACTACACAAAAACCAAATAACAGAACACTGTTCTTCCCTGGTGCAAGTCTCAAGGGGGGCAGCCATCTTATACTGGTGCTGTGACAGTGTTCGTGCATCTGCACTATGCTGCAACCTACAGGCCATTCTGCACACTGTTTGTAGCACGCTTACCAACTTACAGGATAATGGCGCGAAATTTCGATTTTTTATTACAAATTTAAGGTTTTCATTTGACTCACCCTCATACTTGCAAAGTAAAAAGAAGGTAAAGTTGTCCCTGTGCTTAACTAATTAAGCGTTACACCATGAAGGCATATGTGGGAGTGGATGTATAGGTTAAAAATAAACAAGTAGTGACATTCACTTATACAGGGTGTTTTTTAAAAAAAAAGTTGACACGTTCAGTCCCTGCACTTCACCGCGACCAGTGCATTGCTAGCTGCGAAGCGCATGTGAATTTTGCAAATGACTTAGAATGCCAATAACTTATGGAATGAAGGGAAGTTCTTGCCTTTGTTCACAGATCACAGGAGGTGTAGAAAATACTGTCCCTCTTCACTTATACATTCCTTGCACCAGCAGAAGAGGTTTTAATTTGCCTTGTGCAGGAATATTTGCAATTTCCATAATATTTTCTTTCAGTTCTTCCGTTCAAGGATTACTGCTGTAAACTTTGTCCTTCAAACAACCCCAGAAGAAACGCATCACAACAGTACAACAATCTATTTTATTTTATTGTTTCAGACTACCATGGCAGAACTCAGCCCATTTGTGTATTGGGCCCAAACTGAGAATAATATATCTCTTAAGGTTGATCTCAGAGATGCGAAGGTAATTTTATTACAAAGGGATTAAAGGAACTGGCATGCACATACTATTAGTCTAATCCTATATTCTGTTGTTAAATGAATATGGTGTAAATTAGAACTCAAGCGTTTCCACAGCTTTTGCAATGAAATGGTAGTGCAGCTAATTCCGCAGAACTTCGAAAACTAGTTCATAAAAAATATCACAATAATGTACGGTTTTTAATGTATATATTGTCACGTTTTTTTTTTAACTTTGTCTTTTCTGTCATCCTACTTGATGGGTGTACATTTTACTGGATTTGAAGTGCTCAGCTGATTACCTGCATTAATAAGTAACCGTACTAGGACTGAAAATATCTATAATGTCATCTTCAGCTGTTTTATCTCATAAGATATGTGTAATTATCATAATTTATATTTATATATTATTATTTATATTTATATATTTGTATTTGTTAATTGAACTTTTAGTATACCTTAATATTGAAATTTTGTGAAATGGATATGTTATGGTTGTGTTGTGTAGGCTTTTATGGGTTGTAATTCAATTGACTAACTTGAACGATTTACACTTTCTTGTGGTTTGATTGTCACTATGTATTCATTTTATGACTGTTCTGTATGTGACTGAGTTCTGCTTTATGAACTGTTCTTGTGTATGTTTTAATTTAATTGTGACTTGTTCTACATCCTAAGCTTGGCCAAAAAGGATTTATTGAATTAAAGAATAAATGAAATGAAATGAAACATTTTGATATATATGTGTATAAATGCCATTCTTGAAAATATTGATGTTTTGCTTACTTTTGTCTGTTATTTAAAGTACCTTATTAAACTGTTTTAACTTCGTTTGTGATTATGCTACTGTAGAAAATCACATGTTTATTATAAATGAATATTTTGATCACCTATAGCAGATATTTGGTTTGCTGGATTTTTGCTCATTGCCCATTATCTATGTTCTGAACAGAAACAAGACTACAGAAAGTTGATCTGTTTCTGTCCTCGGGTGAAAAGGTCATCACCAGTGACTTGAGATTAGCTTTTATCGACTGAGCTAAGTAGGTGCCTCCCCACCATTTTGTTCGAGGATGAAAACAAATCCAATTTCTGAAACTTATTTTCTTTAGATACTAGATGATGGATAAGGTCCAGAAACCTAATGATCCTAACTAATTTACTGTTATCAGAACTCATTTCGATGAGCTGATCACCCGCCCAAGGAGTCCTACCAAATGTGTAAGATCTAGAAAAATCGAAGTGAATGGAGAAGTTCATGGAGGTAGGCCTAGGCCCACTGGGGCTGTAGTGCCAAGGGAAAAAAGAAATAATAGATCTGAACATTAAACGGAGGAAGGTACTAAATCAAGGAATGTTTAATGGGGTTTCTACTGTAATAGCATGTGTCCTGCAGATTTCTTACAATTACACAAATGTTGCATTGGGTGTACTTTGTATTTTTGCAAGATTACCAGCATTTTTGGTGCACACATTTTACTGCCCTCATGAATGAAGTCTTGCCCTTACAGATTCCTGATGTGACTCTAACTGAGAAGAAATTGCACTTTTCTGCTGATGGATACGGAGCCAAAGGACAGCATAATTATGGATTTCTTCTGGATTTCCATTCATCAATTGACCCTGAGGTAGAAACATGAATAAATAAAAGAAATGAGTTGATACTGGGACACTTAATTTTGTATTCCATATTGTTTGTTATTAAATGTTTTACTTTTGTTCAAAATTTACCAAGGCTGTAAAGGGGGTATGTCCAAAGCTTTGCCTCTAATGTCTTGAACTAAGTCCTTCCAAAAATATAACTTGAAAGGCCAGTTCTGCACATTCTGGTGTTAATGTTCAAGAGGGCTTCTGTAACTTTGACACTGTCGTAGTAATTGTTCCAGGGTATCATAATTGTTATAGGTTGTCATGTTTCAGTGCTACATCAGTATTTTAGGCCTGATTTGGCAACTGCTGCATTTTTCTGTTATAAAATACTCCTGGCGCTCAGAGTGCAGTTGTCTTGAAATGCAAATTACACCACAGATTTGGTGAAAAAGCGTAGAATCACTTCTATAAAATCATGGCTGACCCATTATTTGATAATTCCAAAATATCCTCATTTTCTCGAGATCGACTTTCTTAAAGTTGTTCAACTTGTTCAACCACCAGTGAATGTTGTTTTTATGTGACAGTTCTTCATCTAAGGTATAATGATATGTTGCATGCTAATTAACAACTAAACCACCCACAGTACATATTACACTTTTGTCTGCAAGTCTACTGAGGTGGCCTGTGTCACCCCACTCCTCATTCCCTTCACCCTTGAGTCCATCACATGAAACTATCACAGTTTCTCCTTCAGATGCTGTTCCATTCATATTTTTAGTATGTGCAGTTACGAAATGACCACACTCCAAGACACCACCATGACTTTAAGGACATACTACACTTATAAATAAATTGGCTTGCATTTTCAGGAAAGCAAATTTAAAGTGACAGACAGACAGGTGGAGTTTGTTTTGAAGAAAACAACAAATAAATGGTGGCCAAGATTGACTGCTACACCCCAAAAGCCAGCTTGGCTAAAGGTATTATACCATTCCAGCTGATAATTCTAGAGAGAAGCATGAGACTGGTTATTTTTATCAGCCTCAGTTGCAGAATTGAAATGGCCTGGTGCATGGTGCAGCTGGCTGTTCATTACTTTTTTTTTTTTTCCAGTATGAATAGCATTGCCCTTGAGATATGTAGGTCATAACAAAAGTCATGAGCTACTTTTTTTTGCATGCAACCTGGGATGATTCAAACCCCCAGTTTGCAGCCATTGAAGGTTAATTCTCCAAATTAACACATCCACACAGTCAAACAATGTGAACTGCTTCAATGTGGCCACATATTTAATGGTCATAAGAGTGAAAGTGTTTCACAGATGTTTGTATAAGTGTAACAAAGTGTTGTATGATGTAAATTTCTGGGACAGGGAATTTAAGATGAAGTGACAGAATAACTATAGAACTTACATTTCTTGAATGCACACAGAAAAATCTGTACTGGCTTCAGCTGGTCTCTTACCTCAGGGACGTAAGCATAGAACCTTAGCTACTTCCTCTTAGACAATTAGATTTCCTCTTCACTTCGTATTGACACTGGTTTCCCACTTAAATTAATTATCCAGCTGTGAAGAAATACTGTAAAAGAAATTGGAGTATCATTTTAAATTCAACGTTTTCTCCATATTTCAATACACTGCATGCTTGGTGCACTACAAATCAGGAACCCAGTGCCATGCACTTACAGTATCTCATATGTACAGGTCTTCCTAATTAAGGGTGCAATTAGTACTAATTCTAGATTGTTATTTGTTTTATCTATCTGATTAGGATAACGTGGTAAACATATTTTGTGTCTGCAGATTGATTTTGACCGATGGAAGACAGAGGATGATGATGATGATGAAGAGACAAGAGACGTGATGGGTGACTACCCAGATCTTTATAAAAGACTTGAGAAGGAAGAGCTTGGGTACAGGAAAGGTTTGTCCCAAACTGTGGCATAGCCAGGATAATGGGGTCAAGGGAGAACTATCAGGTCACTAGATTTGAACTTTTGTGTCTGTCCAAGAATGAGCCTTAAATGACCCATTCACTTCTTATTCTTAATAGTGGCTCTTAATTAATAACTCATTTGCAAATAATGAAAATTTACAGTGTAAATGCAAGATGAATACAAAGGACATGGTCTTTAAGATCTGTTTTCGGCAGTCCATTGTCGAGTGGTCTTTTCTGTGGTACAAATTTGGACCACAAAAGGGTGAAAATTTTCACTGTAAATGTTTCTATCAGCAGTAAGAAGTCTTTTGAGTCATCAGAGTCTTGTATGTTTGTGAATGGTACCATCATCAGTTGCACGGTTCTTTTGTCTTCTTTAAGAAATAATACTTGCATTCTCCTAACAATCCAAAATACCTAGTGTACTGTATCCTCATTTTACAATGTAAGGGGATGCTTTGCATTTATTTCATCACTTGTTTTCCTTAAAATATGGATGCTACTGCAATGTAATTCTGACAAAAGTAATGCAGTTTTATGTACTCAGCAACATATACTTAAAGAAATCCAGTTGCAACACACCTTTAGTTTGTGTGCTAGCTTTCAGACTGTTGTCAGTGAAAGATGTAATTTTTCATCTGGGTATTGTAACATTAAAATCTGATACATTCACATAATTACACACAAGTCTGTCTTATACATATGGCAGAAAATGTCCAGAATATTATTTGGCAGTCAGGATTACTAGCAATGGAACTGAATTACTGTAGTTCCAAGTTTGTTGCACTGTGGTGTGGCCTCTATATTAACAAACACTCATGTTTCTATATGCTGTATAATCTACAATTAATTAACCCCATGAAGCAGAGTCCTTGAGAACTGATTCTTGCTCAAGAAATTTTCAGCCTTTTATGGAATCTGGAGCTTCTGAAGAAAGAAAATTACAGATCTGAATTCTTAGTGCCACGGAATGAATTTCAGAGAAATAATTCTCCCCCTGGCTGCCTTTCATGCCCTTCCATCTGCTGTAGTTCAGTTTCAGTCATCAGCATCATAGATACTGATAACCAGTTTTTCTGACATTCCATGTGAATTGACATATCATTTAGGGCACAACTGTTTGTAGTGTATGTCCAAGGTAATATAGTAAATATCAGTCGTATATAAGAAAATATGTGCAATATCTTTGTATCAGTTTTTGTACTGTGTTAAACACAATGCTATGATTGTATGAAATCTCTGTTTTCATTTTGGTTTGATGGCAATAAGCAATGGACCATAAAAGCTAAGCATTCCCTGAATTCTGCTGAAAGTGGCCCTGAATATAACTGCATATTTCTTTAAATTGTACTGCCACACAGTGTTACCAATTTATAGAATTTATTATTCTCACTGTACAAATTGTAACAGTTGAAGGAAAGTATGCATAGTGTTTTCCCAGAACGTTTTCTTCTTACAGTTGTTTATATTCAGATGTTCAGTTTTGAAGTCTTGTTTCCAATTTTGAAATGTTACTTTGTTTATTGCTCAGTAATTACTTATGTTTTATATTTATACACATTTAGAGGATTATACTTTTCATTTCAGAAGATCTTAAGAAGGTGTACTTAATTTTCTACAACTTGTGCCAATTTGTTGGCTTTACATACATCATCACTGTTATGGCAATTCGCTACTTCAGAGATGGACCTAGTAAGTATATTCTAAAACTGAAACTTCATCATCATCTTTACTGGTTCCAGTTACAGGCATTAGTACTGTTCAGGATCTGTGGCATCCTGTACACTTTGGTTTATATTGATGGAGTGGCTTTGGGATTAGGCTCTCAGGAATTCTTCCCACATGCTCTTGCCTTTTCCTTTTATCTGTATGCAATACTGAGTGATCTGTGATTAGTAGTTGCCTTGGTCTCCATCTTTAGATCCATCCTTATTCCTTATAAGGCCGCGCCATAGCTCAAGCGGTTAGTCGCTGGCTTTCCACCACGGCAGCCCGGGTTCAATCCCGGGTCTGGTCAAGTGGGATTTGTGGCGGACAAAGTGGCGATGGGGCAGGTTTTCTCCGAGTACTACGGTTTCCCCTGCCAATCTTAATTCCACCAGTTGCTCCACAATCGCCCTCACCCGTCAACTGGGGCTGGTACAATAGGCCAGCAGTGGCCGCAGTACAAGGGACTTAGTCCCACCCCACTAGCAATAAAAAAAAGGATATTCTTTATAATCTTAATATTTCTTTTTACGTGAAAGAGTTTCCAGGCAATAGTGCCCATAGGAACACGGCTTTCATGTTAGGTTCTCCATCACTTATAGAAGTTGTTCTTCACTATGACTGTGGGGTCCCATGTCCCCTTGTTCTTTCCTCAGGGTTCCAACTTTAAGCTAAGTTGTCATTATATCCTGATTCAGCCATCCGGGTTGTTTTCATACACTGTGGTATAGGCTGATCTTAGATTCTTCACCACTGCTGTTCAGCCACAAATGTAATGTTTTCCTAAATCATAAGCATGGTGAGTCCTGTCATCTGTAGTGATTAAGTCTTCTTCCTGGGCCTCCAAAAATTGACTTTGGTCTGTGCAGTGCAAAAGAATCATCAAAGAATTGTACAAACTCTGTTTCCCAGAATTTCTATCTTGGATTGCTGTTTGATACACCAAGACGCATTTTACATATAAGTTATTCAACATGAGACATACCAGTTGAAGATGACATTTGCAGTCTGTCTTGAATCTTGCAACTCTCAGATCGTTAAATTTGAAAATTATATTGGCAACATATTCACATTTAAGGTAGGCGTTTCTTAAAATATGTCTTACAGAATATTCCTGTATGCTGTTTGAAACTTGTGCAATCCTTCCCGTGAAGCAAAAGGGTCATAATCCAGAGAGATACAAATAGTCCACATTTTATATTCATAAAGGGAGGAAGTTAATAACTGTAAGCGGAACAAAGATGTAGACCCAGAGTTTCCCAAATTCATGGTCTATGGACCTCCAGTGGTCTGTGAAAAAATTTCAAATGGTCCTCCTCCATCTTGCTTATGCATAAATGTGATTTCCATGAAACAGTTATTTTCATTTTAGAAGTCATGGATGTAACTGCTGACAAAATATCATTCTCATAAAGTAAAGGTATCCCTGTAACAGGCCGTGGAGGCCCATAGGATTCTGAGATGTTAAGGCTCCCTCATTTTCTAGACAATCGGCTCGTAGATGGCGGTAAGGTTGGCAGCCTTACGTGCCGGCCACCCTTTACCCCAAAGGACATTCCAAGAATATTCCTGGTACTCATTTCTGTTAGAGGGTGAGTCGACCCCAGGGCCATAGTGTGGCTGGAAGGATTAGAGCAATTGAAAAAAAAAATCCAGTGACCTCATCGGGATTTGATCCACCAACCTTCCGGCTTGTAGCATAGTGCCTCAACCAACTGTGTGCCTCCATTCAAAATTCTTAGAGCAACTTGTTTAATATTTGGATGGTTTCCCAAAGAAAATCCACAGTAACTGGTCCATGGTCTAAAAGCTTGGGACCCCCTGATGTAGACAGTAGTATGGTATTACACTCATATTATTGAAATAGGAAGGTCAGAACAAGATGCATGTTCGTCGACTTCTCTTATAACAAGAGGTCTTTCATACAGCTTGCTACAAGAATTTTGTTCAGTTGTTCATTAAACAAACTTTTACATCATTAATATTGTCTGCAACAGATTCAATGGAAGGAACATATGAAGCAGTGGGAGGTGCAATGAAATTCTGCCAGTTGATGCAGTTCCTAGAAGTAATGCATCCTCTGTTTGGATATACTAAAGGAGGTGTACTTACACCACTTATACAGGTAATTGTTAGTGGAAATGTCATGTTGCAGATGCATGATTTATTAAAGAACTTTGAAATGGTTCTTCTAAAAGAGAACTACAGTGTGTACAGGACCTAGCTTGACACCTGATCTGAGCCAAATTTATGGTTCTAGGCCATAATATAGTAGATGTAACCACCCCAGTTTCTGCGTGTAATCATTTCACAGAAGCACTGTTCTACAATTTATAAAGAAATTCTATCTTCTGCATTATATTCAGTGCAGAATGCTTTCTTCTGGCCCTCCCACTAGCCACTGAACTTCATATTGGCCTTTTGATCATGTCTTTATATTTAGTGGGGGGGGGGNCTGCATGTAATATGTAATTTTATTAATGGCTTTTCGTTCGCTGTCCAAAAACAAAAATTAGAATATACAAAACTATAATTTTGCCTGTGGTTCTGTATGGGTGTGAAACTTGGTCCCTGACAGTTAGGGAGGAACATAGACTGAGGGTGTTTGAGAACAGGATGTTGAGGAGAATATTTGGACCGAAGAGAGATGAAGTAACAGGAGTTTGGAGAAAACTGCATAATGAGGAGCTTCATAACTTGTACTCTTCTCCAAGTATAATTAGAATCATCAAGTCAAGGAAGATGAGGTAGGCAGGGCATGTAGCACTAATGGGGGAGAAGGGGAATGCATATGGGATATTGGTGAGGAAGCCAGATGGAAAGAGACAACTGGGAAGACCAAGGCGTAGGTGGGTGGACAATAGTAAAATGGATCTTAGAGAGATAGGATGGAATTTGTGGATTGTATTGATCTGACTCAGGGTAGGGACCAGTGGAGGGCTCTTGTGAACATGGTAATGAGCCTTCAGGTTCCATAAAATGCTGGGAAGCTCTTGAGTAACTGCACAATTGGCAACTTCTCAAGAAGGGCCCAGCTCCATGAGTGAGTGAGTGAGTGAGCGAGTGAGTGAGTGAGATAAGCTGAAATCATATGATCTTTTATCAAAAGAAATATTATATGTACTTACATCATTACATGCAACAATCAGAACAAGTCAAAGAAAGCAAGTTTCATGTTCCTTGTGGTTACAGACTTGTGTATTACTTAAAACTCATTAATTTCTTTCAGTTGATGAGAGGCTTTAATAATGTCAAGAAATTAGATATGCATTTCTGCAATGACTGCACTAGTGAGTAACATAGATTTGAATTGTGTATTGTTAATCAGAGCATTTAGATGTCATCTCTTTGTGATAACAGTGAATGATGTATCCTAATCAGATCTAGCAAATCCATTGAATTTATTTTTCTTTAGAAACCTCTTATAAATTGCACCTTGATTTTAAAAGTGTCAGTATTGTGAGAAAGGAAAGTGTGGCTTATATTTGGGCAAATACAGTAGTTCATAGATAAAATAAAGCTGCATTACTAAAGTTTAAATTTCTGAATCACATATTAAGTCATATTTTATAATTTTTTTGGGGGGGGGGGCTCAGACCTTTTCATTCGCATCAAGGGAGGCACAGATTGGACGGATTTGGAAACCACTGTTGTAAATGATTCGTAGACATTTTCATAGTGTTCAGATTGTCCTGTTGATTCATTACTTACCACCTTTATGCACAGTGCGATGTTATGGCCTTGTCAAGGTCATATCTAATCCACATGGATTGTACATGTGGTTCGGCAAGAAGCCTTGATCTGCACAAGAGAGGTAGTGGCATAGCCATAGCTGCTTTGAAGCTGTGTAGTTCATGTCCCACCAAACAGCCTGTAATTGGCCCATCTGAAATACAGTATTTATTAAATCTGGTCAAGTTTATTTTTCATTCTATTATAATAAGTGTACACAGATGCATTTTCAATATATGAAAATTATGTAACTTGTTTCCAACTACAGAGCTAATAGAGAATACCTAACCATGTTATGAAATTTACTCCATACTTTTTGCCATGGATTTTAACATGATGTACAAGCATTGCAGAAGAGTTTTGGGATGTGATTTAAATCCACATTCCCAACGTTTCTTTTAATTACATGAATAAATGTTAACCTCTTATTCTTGTAGCTGATATATATTATGATATTGACAACAAAAATAGCAATATCCTGAGCAAAGAATGGATATTTCTGCATATTTGTTTATAAACAAAACTTCCTGTTCTTTTTGCCTCCTGTAACTACCATTCTTTACAATAAAACCACAATTTAATACTCTATAATGTCATTTCAGGTACTTGGTCGAAATATTATTGTGTTTTGCATGATAGAAGCTGAGCCCAGAATGTGGGGGAAACCTGTTGTCTTTTATCTCTTCCTCATATATAGTTTAGTGGAATTGGTTAGGTGAGTAAACATGTACATCTGTTGGCATAAAAATCTTATCTAATTTTCACTGTTTATAATGGTAGCTTGTGTTGAGTGTTATTTATAATTATGTGCATGTTGATCTCAGGGCCTTGTGCCATGTTCTTTTAAAACTAAGAATTTGTTACAATCACAATCATGGACTTTGATAATCATATCTCAATATCTTCTTTCAGATATCCATATTACATCTGTGAGTTGTTCAAAATACATTCTGGATTCCTTGTCTGGCTTCGGTATACGATGTGGATACCTCTATATCCACTTGGCTTTCTTTGTGAAGGGATTGTGATTCTTAGGTTTGTATGGCATTCCTATGTTCTTGCGTATTTATCTTATTTGTGTATAAACTTCATTCTTAGCACTTTGTATAAATATCCAAAATGTTTTAGACTTTCTTCTTATGAGTCTCTCTCATGTAATCCACAGTCCATTCATTTGCCCATCACAGATGTTATTAATGATAGCAGATAAGTGTAAATATAGAAGTTGTTCATTGTACAAAATGTAGTATTAAATGTAGCAAAATATAGTTTCTCTATTTTAATCTTTATGTTTTTAGGTAGGAAGAGAAAAGATTCTGAACTGAATAGTAACAAACATTCCTTGAATTTCATCTGCTTGTAATTTCTTTATGAATGTAATTTGTTTTGTTAGTGACATTCCCAAAAATACGAACTCTGCTACATTTTCAAAGGATCTATTTGCTACCTTTATGTTACATTTTTGTTCTAAAAAAATTTCTGATAACTGTGAGTGGATAAATGACATTTGACATACACTGGGAGCTCCTCGTAGGTGTCCTTCCTTTCCCCCCTAATTCTACTCCATTTCCAGTTCAGAGCCCAAGTTACTAATGAATTGTACCCTATTAGGAATTATGGAAACAATATCAGGTATACTGAGTGTCGTCACCTATACTGTTTGCAGCTCACAGAGTTCACAGCATGGCAAAACTTGTACTGTGACTTGTTAAATAGCTTTTGTATGAATGATGGAACCATAATATATACTATATTATATTTAAGCATCCTGTTGCACTATACACTTCTATATGTAATAATACAAATGCCATTGTGAAAAAGTGTTAAAGATGAGTAGCGACACACACACACTGAGCCTGCACAGAATAATACATGAACGGTGCTGGAAACAAGAAATAGCCGCTGCGGCACATGTAGACACAGAGCAGGTATCCCCGTGATTTAAAACTTTAAATTTTAAACTGGTATTCTAACATCTATCAATGACTGATAGACTAATTGAAATTGGAAGGTGCTATGGCAAGGAAATGAATGTGGAGAAAACAAAAGTAATGAAAATTTCAAGACAACCAACCCCAGTCACAATAAAGATAGACCAAAAACAACTGGAGAATGTGAAATGTTTTAAATATTTGGGTNGAAGATGCTGGATGACCTTGGGGACAGAAGAGGATACTGTCATTTGAAGGAGAAAGCTCTAGATCGCATTAAGTGGAGGAATTGTTTTGGAAGAGACTGTGGACCTGTCATCTGACAGATTACTGATGATGATGATGATGATGATTCTAACACCAAATTGATGAGCGTATGTTGGCGAGATTTTAAACAGAACTGACAGGCTGGTGTTTTAGATTTTGGATTGTGTGCAGTGTGACAGCTACGTAGTGAAAAATACACCTGATGATGGCCAGTTACAGCTGAAACATGTAGTGTAGAGGAAGAAAAGACAAAGAACTACAACCAAATAAAGTGTTGCATTCACGGCGGCATTTGTATTATTACATATAGAATAATACCTGTATGTAGGATTGTTACTTTTACTCTTTCGGCTTTAAATTAATTTCACTTAATACTTTATATATGTAAACTGGTCATGCTTTTGGGTAGCCTTCATAGTGTTTTATTTCCCACAGAGATATTCCATACTTTGAAGAAACACAGAAATTTACAGTCTCTCTTCCAAATTCATTGAACTTCAGTTTTCACTTTCCAACAGTTATGAGGATTTATTTGCTCATATTCTTCTTTCCAGGTATGTAACTTTGTTCCCACACCTTAAGCTATATTTACTTTATGAAATCCTTAAGCACAGAGATAAGTAAAAGCTCGTCACTATTAAATTAAGTGAAATCTTTATTTATTGTTTGTTGATTTTAATTTTCCTACTTTTAAAATGAATGGTGATGACTGGGATTGAACCTGGTATATACCAAAAATTAGGCTAGTATGCTAATCATTAGATCACCGTGGTGGCCACACACTATTACTTTATTCATACTGATTTACTTATTTATTTAGATGTGTTCTAAATTATATATGTCCACACCCGCTTTTATGTGTGAAATTGTTACCATTTTGATTTAAAAGAAGCCTTCGCCATTGGTGCATCAGTATGTGATTTTGTAATGTACAGTTATAACAGCAACTGCACCAACCCACAGTGGTCTAGTGGTTAGCATATAAATCTCTCTCTCTCTGTCCAGCCCTTTGGACCTTGGCTGCTTTTTTCAGTGTCTTAATCCTATACACAGTCAGCAGGGCTCCTTGGACGGAGGATCAGCCTGCCGCAAGACCACTACCTGCATACAGAATAAACACACACAGACATTCATACCTCAAGTGGGACTGAAACCCATAATCCCAGTGTTCAGGATGTCACAGTTCGTACGTTAAACCGCTCGACCACTGTGAGTGGCAATGGTTAGCATACTAGCCTAGTATTCAAAAGATCTCAGCTTCAGTCAAAAATTTGGCTATTAATATTAAAAATAAAAATAATAAATTGGTTTGTATAATGACTCTGTTACCTGAACTTGTGAGTAGAGCCAGCTCCTGAATCATATCAGAGCAGAATGCCTCAAACAATGGACAGTATCCAACACAATATTAATTAGTATAATGAATCAACCCGTATCACAGACCTTTAAAGAAACATTTCAGTTATGATTCTAGAACCATTATCTAAATGCTAAATTACCTCTATTTAAGTGTTCTCCCATTTTCAAATCTTTTATCCCCCAGAGAAAATCTGAATGAAAATTTTACTGTGTCTTTCAGTACCGACTGACTCTAAATGCAGTCCAACAATTTGTCATTTTAGGTCAATCGTGCATGAATTACATTTTATTAATTCTATGCAGTCCATTTCATTGAATACACTAGTACTCATGATATAGGTAAAATGATTACAAATGTACACACACTTCAGCAATGTAGAAATTATAATACTAGTTTCATTGTATGGATTGATGTGTGAATTGTCTTTCAGCCTTGTATGTAATGATGTCACATATGTATAAAACCAGAGTCAAGAAGCTGGGGCCAAAGAAATTGAAGTACAAGTTCAACTAAAGTGAGAAGAACAAATATAGATGTTTATATTCAGTGATTAAAGACAGCTAATTAGAGTGGATAACAGTTACTGCTATATCTTTATTCCTAACTTCAAAACATGTTCTGGATCCTGAAACATATGGAATAAATTTATAGTTATCATACAGTAATTATGGTTCACTTTATTACATACATGACATAACTTTCAAGACTGTGCTGAACAGTGAAGTAAGTGTTTCTGGGGTAGAGCAGTCATTGTATTAGGATATTAATATTCATACTTGCATCTGAGGCCTGCTTTTTGTAGGCTAAATATCACAATTGCAGTGGAACCTACTTGTATTAATTCACGTACTGCTAATATGCTATGACCAAAGAACCTGATGTATGGTGTAGAATAAATGGAGCAAGAAATTGTTTGAACTTTTCTCACCTCTTTGTAGTTAGTCCCTGCCTGGATTAACAACGAGAAATATTGAAGAAACTGCAGATACCCAAATGTTCATTATTTGATACTAAAAAACTTCTATAACAGTCAGGTTTACTGCAGCAAACAGGCTTCTTTGAACTTATGTCCTCAGATTTATGCAGTGGCAAAGCATGACTTTTTCAGAAGTGTTAGCCAAACCTTGATCCAGAGAGAGGTAATGAAATTGTTTTTTTTTTAAATTGAATATATTGAATTGAATTGAATTTATTTACATTCTGTAAATCCTAAGCAGGTTAGTACCTTTGGATACAGAACAAGTCAAAAGGTTACATACATAAGTACAGGCAATTTTAGCTTAAAAATTAATATAACTTAATTTTACATCATTCTCTATTTACATTGAAGTATTCATCTAAAGAGTAGAAGGAATGAGCATGTAGATAATTCTTTAACTCTGATTTAAACTTTTTAGTATCATTGCCCAAGTTTTTAATACTTTGTGGCAGATTGTTGAACACTTTTATGCCAGTAAAGTAGACTCCTTTTTGATATACTGATAAAGTTGATGAGGGTAGGTGGAAGTTATATTTTTGTCTAGTATACAACATACAAGACAACTCTGTAAATCTGAGCAGAAATTTAATGAAGTTATGGAGTAGAAGAGGAAGGAAATATGAACAAAGAAAGAAATAGTAACCAACTACTGATCTTATCTGTCCTCATTACACCTTATACTTAGTTCCATGCAACAATTTTTTCAGTGGAAATATTGATCACAGAGTTACAAGTCAGATTGTTTTCTAAGGCTTGAAGACTCAGTTGTCATTAATCAGAACTTATCAAGTCTGTCCCGAGTCTGTTTGCTATGTAGGTAAGTATGGACACTCTTCAAAACAGCATGGTCACCCACAGACACTGATCATTGGAATGGTTAATAACAAGGCATATATGTGGTGCAATCCAAAAGTTCCCAAAATATATTAATAAAAACTATTACATCTTACCTAGATCTTATTCTGCACCATCACCTTCAAAGTAGTCCCCTTGGGAGTGTATACACGGATCCCAGCGTTTCTGCCACTTTTCAAATGCATCCTGGAAGTCTTTCTTTGTTAGGGTGTTTAGTACCGTCTGCGTTTCCGCTTGAATTTCCTCAACTGTATCAAATCTTCGCCCCTTCAACTTGATTTTCATCTTTTGGAAGAGAAAGAAGTCGCATGGAGCTAAGTCTGGCGAGTACAGTGGGTGGGGAACAACTGCCATCTTGTTTATAGCCAGAAATTCCTGCACAATGTAAGCCATATGCGGTCGTGCGTTGTCATGGTGGAGTACGAAGTCGTTCGTGCGCCACTTCTCTGGACGTTTTATCCTCATGTTCTCCCTCAAACGCTTAGAACATCATGATAGAACTCTTTATTGACTTTCTGACCAGGAGGGACGAACTCCTTNTTAGAACATCATGATAGAACTCCTCATGAACAATCCCGTCAGTATCAAAAAAAACAGATCAACGTGGACATAATGTTGCTCTTGACTTGTCGAGCTTTTTTTGGCCGAGGTGAAGAAGGGCTCTTCCATTGCGACAATTGCTGCTTGCTTTCAGGGCCATAGCCATAAACCCAACTTTCGTCACCAGTGACAACCTTCGAAAGAAAGTTTGGATCCTCTTGAAGCTGTTGCTGAAGTTCCCTGCAGACTTCCAAGCGATGCTGCTTCTGTTCATTTTGCAGCAGTTGTGGCACAAACTTCGCCGCAATCCTCCTCATGTTCAGTTCCTCTGACAAAATTCGTTGACATGTACCATAAGTTAGTCCCAAGGTGTTAGAGAGCTATTGGATGGTCAGTCTATGATAATGCAGAATCAGATCCCTAACTTTCGCGACATTTTCTGGTGTTTTGCCCGTTGACGGCCATCCCGAACGATTGTCATCATCAGTCAATGTTCAGCCACTTTTAAAATGCTTATACCAGTTGTGAGTTTGTGTCTGGCCTAAACTGTTTTCACCAAAAGCTTGCTTCAACATTTGGTGCGTTTCTGCAGCGGTTTTCCCAAGTTTGAAACAAAACTTTATACAGACATGCTGCTCTCTCAGCTCAGTCATCGCAAAACCGCAAACTCACGGAAACACAACAATGGAAATACGTTCACCAACAATAAACCCAACCACTCAACTCGACGCCGCTTGCCACACTGATTCAAGAAGGATGTGTGAGGAGACACCTAGCAGTATTTCGATGTACTCATAACCATTCGTGCGCAAAACTCAAATTTCGGAAACTTTTGGATTGCCCCACGTAAATATGTGACATCTGGTAATGCTGTACTCAGATGTGAACCATAATGTATTTGAGGTCTGAAATATTACTTTATAAAAATTCTTTCAATAAATAAACAATGGAAAGTTTATTCTTCAGAAGAGAATGAAAATATCATCTGTATGATTTCTATAATGACTCATGTGCAGTAGCTGAAACTCATCAGAGTAGTGGTCAAAGTTTCCAAAGTCTAAAACTGAAGCAAACTTTAAGGGCAGCCGCACACCGACTGCGTCAAAACAGACATAAAGACATGAGACAAAAAACACAATCTTGCTTCATTCATGATTCATCAGCATGAAGCTGACATCAGCATCATGACTCAGACCGGTGTGTGGCGTTTTCATAATCTCATGCATTTCAGCAGTGATCATTTCTTTGCATCATATTGCAGACATCGTGTCTTGACGCATGCCAGTGTGTGGCCTACCTAAGAATTTTGAACAATCAACTAATTAACTGTCCTCACTAGGTGTCCAGTATAGCTGGTATCTCCCTCTTCCCTCTGCAAGCACAGAAGCAAGTGAAGTGTGTTAACATTCCTAATTCATATAATGTGACAATTTGGAATGTTGTGCACTCCCTTCAGGCCTTGCTATATATAATGGTTCTTCAGTATCACTGAATCATGAAATGTAACACTTCATTCTTCAAAGTGTTGGCCAGGTTAACATGATTAACATGAATGCTTTCCCACTGGATTTATGTGTGGTAATATGATACATTGCCAGTCATGGTAGCCAAGCGGTCTAAGGCATGTACTGTCTTCACTCGCTTGGAAACCGTGATCGTGGGTTCGAATCCCACTCAGGGTATGGATGTTTAGTTTGTGTGCGTGCATTTTTCTATGTTTGTGTACAGGCAGAGGTCTTGCGACGAGCTGATCACTCGCCCAAGGAGTCCTACCGAATGTGTAAGATCTAGAAAAACCAAAGTGAACAGAGAAGTTCATGGAGGTAGGCCTAGGCCCACTGGGCCTGTAGTGCCAAGGGGGAAAAAAATGGACCCATAAGTTGGATCAAGGTGTTCTTGGTTGTGTTACTGTGGGTACCACATTTGTTACATGGGTACCTAAGTGTCGATGGAATTTGTCGCTTCCATTTTCCCCTCTCTATATTGAAGACGTAAACAACAGGGGGGAATGATACATTACCAAATTACAGTTTATGTTCCGTAACATGCCTTAGAATGGCCCAATATGGCTAAAGACTTCTCTCTTCTGAAAAAAGGAAAATGGACTGCTCTGTGTAACCACTCAATCACAGCATGTGTTAATGGTAGAAGTCATATCGATTGTGCCTAACAATTTAAGCTCTTAGCAGTAAATGAACTGAATGACAGAGGCTTTATGGGCCTCCTAGTTCGCTAAATATTGTTGGGGACACATACATCCTGGATAACACGTGATGTGTAGGAATACCTTTACATTTACATTTATAATATCATAATCTACTGATACATTCTGTTCATTGGTACCAATAAACCAAGGACTATCTCAATTTCTCCTTAATTCTGCATTCCCAGTTCTCTACTTTTGGGCTATCAAGTTGGAATTTCATACACATTTTACTGTTAAGTGATCCAGGGATAGTAAGGGAGCCCATACCTATGGTTCTAACCATTATTTCTAGCCCTATATCTGTCCCTATCTAAGTCCATTAAAGGAGCACTTAGGATCACCCAGTGCCTTTTAGAAAATCTAAAATTGATTATGTCTGTTTCCAAGCCTTCTATTTTCCCAGATGTTAAGGCCATAAACATTTTCCAGAGTTATAAAATCTTACAAGGAGCTCCAGGTAGGCTTCCAACAGTGGTCTGATTACGTTCAATGCACCTCTTCTCTTTTGTATCTCCCAATTATCATGTTATCTGAAAACATTCCTAAATAATGTATCTCATTCACTGATTCAATTACTTGGTCTTGCAATGACATCTTTCTTCCTTTTTGAATGCTGCATGTTTGCTTTTCTTAACTTTAATGTCAGACCCAAATCTTTACAATAGTTATCAGCTTGATTTAAACTTTTGGTGAAATGTGTACTATAATTTATGCCACAGAAATACTGCCAGAAAAAATTATTCCAGTATTGTGAAATCAGTCATTACTGGAATATACAATTATATCTTCGATAAATGAAAGAAACAGATGTACTCTTATACACAGCCTGGTCTTAGTTACTTCACCCTTACCACATCTCATACAAAATTATCATTCTTATACTCACACTTCATTCTCATTATAGGCCATGAAACATCGATGTTTAGGAAACTGATTCCCTTTTCAAAATCAGTAGTACACCAGTAAATGATTCCTTTCTTAAATTGTATCTCTTTGTCAAGTCATGTTTTTAATTACAAAGCATTATTCACAGTTCTCCAGCCACATATAATTCTTGACTGGAATGAACACAATGTACTATATTATGTTTCTCCATCCATTTTCTTAATCTTACTGGAAAAATTAGAGAAATAATCCTCAGTACCACTAAAAGTGAGACGCCCTGCAGTTTCTGAAGTGCCTTTTACATTGTATGTCTAATATACAACTTCAGTCTTCAAAATTCCTTTCCTTGAACATCTCTATTAAGTAATGTAATTGGTGAACCAAACATCCTGTGTAGATGAGCCATCAAAGCTAACTATTAAACTTTAACTTCCTCCTCTGTCCTGTTTGTAAAAGTTAGTGGCATGACTGTGTTTAGGGAAGAAGGATCAATTACCTTATCCTTCAGATATAACAAGCTATTACGAAACCCAGATCCTCGGGAGAAGGATTTTTGACAACATAGATTATTTCACATCATAGCATATAATTCCGAACTATGAATTTAGGGTTAGTCTTTGATTTTAATGCCATATAATGGTATTAACCACAGTCTCATAAATAAACATGCTTAGACACACTAATAATAATTCAGGGAACACATGGTATCATTCAGTCCCGATTCTTCTGTCTTCTTGTCTGCAATCTAAATCATAATTAAAATTTTCAAAATTTTAATTGTACCCACAGTTTTGTATGGGTGTGAAATGTGATGTCCCATTGAGGATGTTTTAGAATGGTATGGAGAATATTTAGCTCTAAGAGTGATGAAGTAAGAGGAGGATGGAGAAAAATCTGTAATGGCAGAGCAGAATTATCAAAGTGACAGTGAGATTGACAGGGCATGTAGCATGCATGGAGGAAAAAGAAAACCTTGAGGCATGAGACCACTATGAAAATCCAGGCATAGATTTAAGGTTGAAATGAAAATGTATATTAAAGAAAATTGGATTCATGTGGCAAAGGATAATGAGCAGTAGCACGTTCTTGTAAACACGGTAATGAATGCTTGGGTTCCATTATATGCTAATAATTTCTTGAATAGAAGAACAGCTGTCAGCTTCTAAAGAAAGACCTTACTCCATGTACTTTGTACTTCTGTCTTGAAATATCTGAGCCCAGTGTATTAGATTGCAGTGGCAGGCTAAACAAATTGTGCTTCATCATTAATTCAACCAATACCTGTATAAGTCAATGTTCCCTCCTTGTAATAAACACCTTGTCACTTTAACTGAACAGTTTTTGTTACTGTAGGTGAATTATTTGCTCTTGATTTAGGCAAGGAGTCATGGGGACAATACCTTGCTACTAATGCTATGGACCATACTCTTGGAACCTCATGTCTGTCATAATCAGAATACCAAACAATCCATCTTAGGATGGTTGGAGAAAAATGCGGAGATGTAGTTGAATGCGAAGATTTTGCAGATCTTGGTGATCATGGCTCTGTTTCGAAATAAGAGGGTAATTTCAAGCAAGATTAAAGAAGAGAAGAGTATACCAGTGATGGGCTTAGTTCTGAGTGAACCATCAAATTGTGCTGCTGGCAGTAATTTTAATTGGAAGAGTACGAGTATGTTCTGATGGCCATTGAATGAGGTTCTCAACACAAAAAAAAATTAACATTTACTTTTCATATTTACACAGCAACAAACTACATGTTCCCAGTCATTAATTGGCAAGGCAATTGGAATTTTAACAGTAATACTTTTAAGAAAATATGATTATAGGGACTCAAACCTTCGTCTCTCAGTTCACATTCAGACTCCTAATTACACAATAACACAAATATGATTAAGCAGAATAAGCCGTAATAGGGGCAGGACTGCTTGTTTCGTTTCAATTGTAGTTATTTGCTATCTGAAAATAATTATCAAGGCCGCACATTTCTATTCAATTATCGACATTTTTCTGATTTCACCGTTTACGAACATTTTCACTTTCCTCCGACTATAGGAGACACCTATGCCCACCAAACTATCGCTCTGTAATTTTTAGTGGGGCTATTTTTCTTCCTGAACTATATTTTCTGCGTTTTCAACAGAAGTTCCCAATATTCGTACCCACGTATTGCTTAGTACTGGAAATAACGCTGAAGAAAGCGATACTAGCGCTACAAAGTAGGTACAACTGAACTATTATAGCAAAGTAATTGGCCGTGTGGATATATTCTGCAGGTTCTGCAGGCTAGTGCCAGGCTGTCGAACATAATCGGAGATAGTATTCTATAGTTTTTACCGAATGGACGATTGAAGAACAGAAAAGGAAGATGGCTACCGCTGCGAAACATCAAGATATGCCGCCAGAAGGTGGTTACAATCCAATAAATTATGCCAGAATCCCCGCTAAGAAGTATTTCAGTGGTAAAATATCCTTAGTATTGTTATGACAATTATGGTGAAAAATTTATTTTCAGTTTGTTTATACGTACGTCATATTTCAGGGTCTACGATGATTTTGGGATATTTGGCAGTCACAGCAGTTTCTGGTTATGTGTACTACCTTACTTGGAAGAAGGTTAGGCAAGATCAGATTGAAATGAGAAGTGCCAGGCTTGCGTTACAACCACTACTTACAGCAGAGAGGGACAGAGAGTATGTATCTTACAGAATTGTTCCATGAATGTGTAAGAACTGAATTTTTTTCGTGCGGTACATTATATTATTCCCTATACCGAAGTATGCAGCCACAATTTCTAGATATGGCATATAACAAACAATACAGCACAAGTAGTTGACAAGAGTGCAAAAGGTGGTTAGAGTTCCCCTTTTCTTATCACACCAGCCTCAAAAGCATTTTTGAACTGCTTCTTGGAGATGTTTGGTTTATTCCTGTTAGGTCATGTTATCTTCCTATTGGACTTACTGCTCACGACTTACAAGAAGGTCAGTATATCGTACATAATTTTCAGCACAGCTGTTAGCAGGAATATGCTTGACATTTGAGTTACTAAATTGCTAACAGAGTAACAGTATGTGAATACATACTTTCGTTTCATGTACCATAAACACATGGAAAGTGGAGTTTACACAGGGTCTTAGAATATCATTTGAGTCATTCATAACTGCTGTTAATGAATTCTAATGTCAGTTTGTTTTTATGTAATTGTGCTTTTTCCCTTTCCGTTCTTAAAATTTGTACACATACATGGGGAAAGAGCAGAAGAGAAGTCAGAATTGCTAACAGTTTATGAATGCCATTTCACAAAGTGAATTGGTTATGAAGAAAGCCATCTTCTGGGATGTGTCGTTGTGTAGAAATTTTTGGCCTTACTTGGCCATCTTCAGGCAGTTGTTCATATTTCAGAACCATCTCGCTGCTCTAGATCTTAATATATTTCTAAGCTATTGCATTATCGTTGTTCACACTAAAATATTGTAACGTGTTTTGTCTACTGAAGACGCAGTTCAGATTGTTAATTGGTTTATTTAACAACCTACAAATCGTAACTACAAAAACTTATAACACAGTTGCGGGTTTACACAATTTATAAAGCCTACACAATAATCTGTTCACTCTATCTTCAATAGTCTTCACTTATTCACAGTACAATACGGGAGCTATACCAGTGTCACTGTATTACACACTCCCAATAACTTCTCACACTATCGCCTCTATCACACTTTCCAGTCTTCTTCACGATTCACTTGCTACAACAGCCAGTTCTCTTCTTAGGCATTCCAGTTCTCTTATAAACCTTCAGCCTGACAGCGGAAAATGCACTTCGCTTCCCTGTTGCGTAATCGCTGTGTTTACAGGCATTGCTAAGCAACACTGCCAAGAGTTGTTTATTGCTGCGTAGCAACCAGCGTGCTTCGGGTCACCTCAGCTCGGCTCGGAGAAACGCTGCTCTCCTTACTGTTGCGTAACTTGACAACCGACCGTTTATCAAGGGTTTGTCTTTGTGGTAACTCATTCCACCTCCCGTTGCCCAGCAACAGTTAGACATGTCACACTATGTTTGTTTGAGAACAAAACTCTGTCTGTTCTGCATTCTTTCCCTTCTGCGGCGTCCATGTTTCTGTAATGTATAATACTGTAATGGATTTGGTCAATGCATTGCTAGGCAACAGCACTATGAACACAGTCCAACATGCAACAATAGCGGAAGACGCATTTTCTGTAGATCCAACCAACGCATTCTGCATATGTTCCTTATTGCAGGTTTTTGAATCAGTTACGTCGCAATCGTGATGAAGAGGCTAAGCTGATGGCCAATGTACCAGGTTGGGAAGTTGGCACATGGTATGGAGAGCCAGTGTACAAAACTCTTCCTCCCGATACACTGGTTACACCTTACATATATGAATTTTATGCTCACGCTTCTGATAGTGAATTCAAACGAAGAACAACACTTGTGTTATGGTCATAAGTGTTTCTGCCCAAGTATGAATCAGCAGACTACACTTGTCGATTTAACATTATAAATAGTAGATATGCTTGTATTATTAAGTTCAGATTATGTTACAGCTGTATGTATGTATTTTGCTAATAATAAAAAACCGTAGTGATAATTATACACTGCTTTTTCACTTCCAGAGCTTTTTCTATACAGGAGACATGGTGTTCATTTCAGCTCAAGAGGCAGTAATTGGTTTGGTATCATTTAACGTATCTTAATTGCCAGGTTATTACTGAGAATTTCACGTGTGTAGTCAGACTACCAATTGCAAAGCTAATTTTAAGGCCTTCTCACTGTTTTGCAGTTCAGACGATTCTGGCAATGACACAGAATCTTCTTCCTGTGACATTTTCCCTTTTATATGGGACATCTAACAGCCAAGCCTCTGTATCTTTATCTGTGTTCACAAAGCCCGTCCTGAGTTTTCTGCTGTGTTCTGTCTTCCTTCCATGCTGAAGGAATATCCACTGAATTTGTCCTCTCTGTACTGCAGTAACAGTGATTTAAATCTGATGTTGAAAGTGTGTATTTCACAGTAACCTATTTTGTGCCACTTGAAATTCATTTTACCTAATTTGCTTGAAAACATTCCTGATTTCAGTTTGTAAGGCCTCTAAATGCATGCGAATTATTTCTGCAGGTTATTTTCTTTAAGGTTTTTCCAACAAAAGTTACACACACATATTCAAGGGTGTATATCCACAGTCAGAAAAATCTTAATTGATCAAACATGATAGTTAGCACCCCACCAAGACTGAAATTAGGAAAACTCCTATTTACTTGGTCCCAAAATGTTCATACATTTTTTGGAACCTATTATGCCATGAATAATGTGATGAAATGTCAGTAATACTTCTGTCACAGTCCATGGCACAACAACCCAGAAGCTAGTGCCCTTTCTTTGTGGTCAATTAATGATACTTAATGGTTAAACAAAAAAGAAATCTTTGTCTGCAAGATGATGATATCCTATACCATATACGTAGTACCATAATCAGTCAAATGAAATGCAACATCATTTATCAGGAAATAAAGTTAGAATCACCTGTAACACTATCTGAACATGGTTTTATGAAAGGAATTTTAGCTCAAATGGGAGAGAGACAGACTTTTTCATCTGCTTCTGCTATGAAAGTAAGTTGTACAGAAATTTGTGTGAATAAATATTTAATCCTTTTAGGTAAATCTGCTGCCACAATACATTCTAAAAGTTGAAAGTACAGTGCTTTTTTTTTTTCACTTTTGCCAGAACTGATTTATAATGGCTCATTCTTTTGATATAAATGCAGATCAGTACTTTTTTTACTTTACATTTTTCACTTTCTCTAGTGTCTGAGACTCTAAATGTTTCCTTTAGTATACTTCTGGTTTATACTGGAAGACCCAAGTGCCATCATGAATCTTTTTTTCCCAAAAGGATATGTTCTATTAGTCCTGCTGAAAGATCTGAATAGATTTGTTTTTTACATTTTTCACTTACCACCAAAAATTTTCAGTACCATTTTGGCTTTCTTCTTATTCAAATATTTGGTCAAAATCAATCTCTCTCAGTTTCTGTATCCTTGTTCATTCCTTCTGTCATTTAATGATCATTCTCATAAATTTAGTTAGTTTGTCCTCATTTGAACGATTTCTTGACATCAAGAGTCCTCTGTTATGTCTTCCCTTCCACCTTCATGACTTTTAACTAACACAGAAACTTGTGTTGTACTCATTGCTCCCTCTCCATCAACTTATAATATTCTGCAGTTAATGGCATTTTCTAAAATGTAACTAAAATTTAATATTTTATGTAAAAAAGATGATTTTTTTTTTGACAGAGTAAAACCTGCACCAATAACACACCACAAGCACAAAACAAAACTGAATTATAGCAATTGTTTTTTAACACAACTCAATTTTGTCATGTGAGTTTCTGTACCAAAAAATCAGTCTAGTTATTTGATAGACCTTGTAACTTTTCTTACTGTAGACTGTGTGGCCATTCAATTCTAAAGAACACTGGAGAGGTGTTTTTAGAGTGGGGGCGAGGAAGTGGGGTTGCATGAGGGAAAATTTAAAATCCTGTCTGGATCTGAAGCCAACTCATCTTAGTAGATCTGTCTTATGTTTTCAATTAACAGAAACTCCTTTCCATTGGGCCATCATGCTAAGAACACACTTGCTGATCCATTTCAATACAAAAGTCCAAAGAATAACACCATAAACTTCCTACTGAATTTCAGTATACTACAACAAGAGACCCAGAAACATTATAGTATTTGTGATGATGAAAGGTTGAATTTGGTTGAATCATATTGTCTTGTAGGTAGATGTTGGGCTTCGTATTGAAAAGCCTTGGGTTTACATCGTTTAACTGTTTAGGTCTGTTTAAATAATAAAGTGATATATGCAAAATATATGGCATTTATATACACGTATACATAAAATAACTGTCCAGATATGGTGGTTTGTATAGATTGGGTGCTAAATAATGATGACTGCAATGAGCTTTGCTTAAGTAATGTGAGATGAGGCAAAATGAATTCTTTCCAGAAGGTCTGGAAGACATCATTCAGGTGAAATGAAGCAATTTCTGAACTTTTATGATAGTATAATCTCAGTACTTTTCACCATGTTATATAGGAAATACCTGACACAAAGCTTTAATTAAATAAAATATAATGAACAATTATCAACTTCAGTTTAAAATGTTAAATTTATGTAATATTAGAATCACTCACACAGAGAACTAGAAGCGATGAAAATCATTTTAAATGCTTATTTAATAGTATAGTGCCCCATGCTTTCACATTTTAAAGGGGGACCAGATTTTAAACAAAAATAAGTTTCAAAACTGCACAACCTTGTATATAAAACTGATTTACTGTGTTCCCAGGAAGAGTAGCTATGAGAGTGTGGTAATTAAATACAAAGAGATGAGAAAATGGTCATCACAGTCTGCCTTAAGGTAGCATTAGCCTAGAGAAACAAAGGGATATTGGTATTCAATATTGGAGGAAGTTTGAATAGTATACCTCCTGAATACAGAGGAGGGGTTATGTCAAGTACCTAATCTGAATGTTCAACTATCAAAATTCTATAATATTTACATATTGCCCTTATGCTACAGAACAGGAGTGAATGGGAAGACGGGTTTTGGCCCGATAGAAAAGGGGGACTGATCTGGTATACAGATGGTTCCAAGACAAATAAGAGTACTGGAGCTGGTGTGTACTGCTATGGCATGAGCCTTGGACAGTACACAACAGTATTCCAGGCAGAAGTATATGCCATTAAGGCATGTATTATGGAGAATCTAGATAGGAACTATAGAAATAGGAATATCTACATTCTATCTGACAGCCAAGCTGCACTTAAAGCACTTGACAAACACCAGATCAAGTCAAAATTGGTCTTGGATTGCCACCATACCCTCATGGAACTGGACAAACATAACAGGGTACAACTGATATGGGTGCCAGGGCATGAGGGTATTGCTGGAAACAAAACAGCAGATCAATTGGCCAAGATTGGAGCTGAACATTCATAGAACCTGAACCAGCCTGTGGCATATCTATAGGAGTTGCTAGAAAGGCAATCAGGAACTGGACAAATATGCAACACAAGAAATACTGGGGATCCTTGACTGGACACAGGCAAGCAAAGGGCCTCATACAAGGACCCTCTACTAAAAGAGCGAAGGAACTGTTGAAGTTAAACAGGAACCAGCTACGATGGGTGGTAGGACTACTTACAGGACACTGTCACCTCAAAGGACACCTCTTCAAACTGGGACTAAGTAATAGTCCAACTTCTGAAAGGTGTCAGGAAGAAAATGAAACAGCCACACATATCCTGTGTGAATGTGAGTCCTTAGCCTTTTTAAGATTACGTAACTTTGGTCAGTATTTTATGGAACCAAGTAACTATTTCGACGTTCCCATGTACAAAATCCTGCGCTTCATTCGAAGCACAGGATTGTTGAGGGGATAATCAAAAAGGGAAGCACAATAGATCACTGTGGTCACAGTGCAAGGGCCAAGAGGGCCCACACCTTGTACATTCATTCATTCATACATTCATTCATATGCCACAGAACTTTGGTCTACTTCCTTTTTGTTTTTCTTTCAAAGTCCCATCGTTTGAACCATTGCATAATCTGCCATCAAGCATGATACAATTGTATGTGTATTAAATTATTTTAAGCAACTGTTGATTGTGGCTCAGGAAGTTACAAAAAAATAAAATAAATCTTTCATTGACAGCAAAGAAGCAGAGACACTTGTTGCAAATGGCAACAGTTTCAATCTAAACAAAATGTCCTGACCTATTGCTGGGAAGTATGTGAGTGTTGAACTTTCTAACTGGGGAGTGTACCAATCTACCCACACGACCCTCAGCATGGACTCAGATTTGAACAAAATTTAATAAAAGTTAGACAGAATGGCAGAAGAAGCAATATAGAATCAGGTTCTGTAGTATAAACATAAATTTTGTCAAGACCATGGAAAGCATCTGAAAAGATGGAGTGGGTATGTGAAGTCCGAACAGGCTTGATTGCTTATACCACGAAGTTAAGAACTGTCAGCCCATAGGCCACATAAATTTGAAGGCACTATTGAGTATCATTAGACTTAAATGTGATTAAATAAACAGTTATTTATTTCTTGAAGTGCTTTGTCCACAAGAAATTACAAAATACATAGTTGGATGTAAAGTAAAAGTATCCCTGTAACAGGCCAAGGAGGCCCATAGGGTTGTGAGACGTTGAGGTTCCCACATTTTCTAGACAATCGGCTCAAAGATGGTGGTAAGGTTGTCAGCCTTACGCACAGGCTGCCATTTACCCCCAATAGGGTAAATTATGGAGACTGTTAACAAGCAATTGATTATGTTTATAAACAAGTTACTGAAATGAGATTTCCAAGATCTCTCTAAAATTCAGCATATCAAACAGGAACTTAATATTTTTATATTGGCCCAGATCTAAATGTAATGAGTTAATTTTCAGTATAAAACGACTTGCCAATGTACAAATAACAGAATTCTGTTTATTACATTTCATTTGCATAGAATCTAAATAGGGATTTTTTTTATTTTTTTTTCCATGAAACATGGTATGTCACAATTGCCTTAATTCTACAGATGTGGTGTCAGTGTGAAGTTTTAGCGAGATATATCGCTGGAGAGAACCATTCATTATACAACTCAGAAAATACAGAATTGCATGAAACTATATTGAGAAACACTAGCTAGTCTCACCACATTCATTGCACAATCATTTATTTGGCACCAGTAAGTTGAGGGGATGGGAAAAGGGAGTGTGTGCATATATACACATATCTGGATATGGTGAACCCATTAATATTTCTGCCTTTATAACATAAGGGAAGCAATTAAAAATAAAAAATCTATTCACAGGAAAATGAAATGGGACGTCTGTCTCATTTTGTTTCTTTACAGTTACTTGCAGTTAGGCCGCGCCATCTCAAGCAGTTAGTCGCTGGCTTCCCACCGCGGCGGCCCAGGTTCGATCTCGGGTCTGGTCATGTGGGATTTGTAGTGGACAAAGTGGTGTCGTGGCTCGTTTTCCCCGAGTACATCGGTTTCCACTGCCAATCTTCATTCCACCAATTGCTCCACAATCACCCTCACCTATCATCTGGGAATGGTACAATAGGCCAGAAGTGGCCGCAGTACAAGGGATTTAGTCCCAACCCACTAGCAATAAAAAAAATACTTGCCATTAAACACAAGTCATGAATTTCGAGGTTTCAGCGTTTAGTTTTTATAATACCACTACACAGTGAAAAATGAGACCGTTTGTTTCCCTGAAAGACGAGCACCTAGTGTTACAGGTTTTAATATTTTAATGGGATACGTACATACTTTAATGGAAAAAAGCAGATACCGTTGTGATAACTTTATTTAACTGTTTATAGAACCCCACATTTCCTGCTTGAACTGTAGTTCATCTTCCCTCCACAGACGCGCGCGTATTGAAATGTATGCAATGTGTAAGTCAATTTACATGTCGAAATTTTATGGTTTCAGAACTTAATTTTCACTACAGTTCTCTGTAGAACAGTAACATGTCTGCAATTTGATATATGAAATACTCTTTTATAAACCTAAATCTAAACGAATTATTATTGATGAAAGAAACAATGAGAGATGTCTGTATTTTCTATTTATGTCACTAGATGACGACAGTTGTGCCATTTCCATGGCAACTAACCCTCAGCAAACTAGAAGCGCGTTTCAGATTTAGTTCTGCTAGTAAATTGCGTACAAAACTTCTTCCAGAGATTCTGTAAGTAATTACTAAATTTAAAAACATGTAAAAATATTATAAAATTCATAGTATTGATATAAAAATAATTTGTACACATTTAAATAGAACATTAAAAATTGATAGATGTAAGTTGTTTGTGGGAGCATCTTTGTATACGTAAGTGACCACAGTGTTTTAAGCCAACGTTGATTTATGAAGAATTGATTGCAGTTTTTGTGGATAAAGGCGATGGACCGGAACTATTATCAACAGCAGCACCAAACTGGTAGCCGGCCGTGGCTAACCAAGACGCCTGCACCGAATGATCCATGGCAGTCTACAACTCACGCTACCTACACACCTCCGAGGAACGATCTTATGAAGCGAGAAGGTTAGAACTATGCACATGAGCACCTTTATAGATATCGATTAAATTGCCTGCTGATCGATACAAAATGATCGTTTGAAGGATGGATGGGTCATTGCCGATATTATAGCTCACTGCACTGCCTTCCAGCAGTCCACCTGGAGGTCTTTCTTTCCGTGAGTTATGGGAGGAAGCCAAAACCGCGATTTCAAGCTTTACAAGGCTGAAATAATTCTGGTTTCATGAGATCATAACTTGAAAACTACCGAATTCATGGGTTTCTTGTTTTTATTCTCTTAATTGACTTGGCTTGTTTAATGCTTATGTATCATGAAAAAGCTAAATAGTTCCGTTCAGTAGGACTTGTTAAGATTTTCTTATTTCAATTATTCATGCCCTTACATGTTTCGGTCTTCAGAGACCATCTTCAGAGGGACACCTTTACATCAATACAGTTAGAAGCCACTATTACAGTACATGTTCTAAAAGTCAAAATATATACATACAATATAAATAATATACAATTGGCTGTAAAATCTAAAGTCTTTACAGCTACAGCGGCTGTTCCAATACTTTAAAATATTTATAGTTAGTTTGATAAGATTCTATTGGAATTCGTAAACCATGCCGGTTCGTGTGGTCCCTCTTATTATTTCATTTGACGGGGGCCGAATATGTGCCGCCCTGTTGTTCTCGAGAAGAGGGTTCTGCAAATATATTATGGGTATATTTTATTATTTCAGCAATCCTATTATGTTTTGTAAAAACTTCTGTTATTTCGTCCAACCTTTCATGTTGTCCTGTATGTGTTTGTGGCCCGCTGTGTTGTTTTTCTGTCTGAAGACCGAAACATGTAAGGGCATGAATAATTTAAATGAGAAAATCTTAACAAGTCACGCTGAACGGAGCTATTTAGCTTTTTCATAATAGTAGTGTGACGGACCAGATGTTATATAGCATCATGTGGCGAGAATATAATTATGAATAACGAGAAGGCAAGGACTGTGAAGATGATCTTGACCTAATTAAAGGCACTATTCTGACGTTCTCCTGGAAGAAATGAAGAAAATAATAACCTTAAATTCCGGATTCCAGGATATCTCACAGATACGAGCATTAATATTGTACTCTTCTCACTCTAGGGCAGGGTCTCCAGTCTTTGTGGGAGAGTTGCGGAAAATTATAAGTTAGTAACTTACAGCAGGTACTAGATTCATCTCCCGAAAAATGATGAGAATTGAAGTAATTTGGTTATGAATAAGTTTGCATCTTGTGTTCTCACACCAAGATATGTTCCAGAACACTTATTTTGGCACTTTCCAGGTCACGCAAATATCCAGTGAATAATAAGTCATGTTCTTAGAAATATTAGCAATATATTCACCCGATACCATGAATTTATGTGACACCTGAACACAACCTAAACATTTATAACTTGTTGGGACTGGACGGAGAGTTCCGTATAGCGGAATTCATCACGTGCTTCCAAAAACAGTCACAAATAATATTCGAATACAATACAGTAAACTTTTCATCACTTATGAATTACGAAGAACATAAATTAAAAGTCCTGCCAAGAGATCCGCTGACATACATCTGACAATCATAGCGTTACAGAATTGAGATCTCTTCTCCATCTGCTGCTTTTCCGTTCTTTCCTGTCTCCTCGTTCTTCTTTTCCTTTTCCTTCTCTTTCCCCTTCTGTATCTACACCGCTTTCTCCATTATTTCTTCCTCTTAATCTCTTCGTCAGCTGTCTTCTCTGTATATTTCCTCCTCCTCTTCCCACCCCTTCTATATATTTTTCTCCTTCTGTGTTTTTCTTCGTCTGTAATATTCCAGTCAGCAAAATTGTGGCTTCAGGGTCCGAAACGGTTAAGACGAAGTGATCAGAAATACGCTAGGAGGCCGAAGCACTGGGAGCTACAGAGCATTGAATAAGGAGAAAAAACAAACTCCATGGTTTTAGTCCGCAAGCGAACTGTACCGAATGAGTGACCGCCGCTTGTCGGCGAAGTTATTGCCAAATTTTGCGTATAGAGGGTCAGCGCAACGAATCTCCGCGGCCGTTAATTTCGGTTTTCTCGACCGGAGCCGCTATTTCCTTGAAATAGCTCCTCATTTATCATCACGAGGCTGAGAGGACCCCGTTCCAGACCCACTACTTCTCAGAAAATCTGGTAGCGTTGGGAATCGAACCCGGGCATGTGGATCTGTACCCAGAAACTCTGACCACATGGCCACAGAGGCGGTCTTATATAAGGAGAACATTCATGATTTGTACAGGTAGTGCTTGGTGAAACCAAAGTCATGGCGATAGGATGGCTGTCACTGTGGAAACAAGTCTTCTTTGGAATGCGTTATTAATCCAATAGCCTTCAGAACTCCACACAAAACGTACCAAACATAATACCATAATATGAACGTCCTCTATAAGAAACACAATGTAATAATATAACTCATATTCACAGTGATCATTCACATTGAATTTTTCAGGACGACTGGGTGAGTTCCTACGGTTCTGGCTTTCCACTGCTCCGCCACCCAAGCGCACCCCCGTCTATCAGTAATGGAGGAGTTCGTCAGACTTGCATACAGTTTCAACCACTTCACTGCCGTGTTCATTAGACGTGTTTAAATTATATTTGTGCCTTTAATTTAAATAATGAAACATAAAATGCACAATGTAAGATTTGAGGCTTTCACGGCGGTGACTATGAAGAAAGCAGTCTTCTGGGATTTGGCACCGTGTATATGTGGTGTTAACCGACGTTTCGGAGGAACGTATCGCCCCCATCTTCAGGGTAGAAGAAAAAGTATAAGAAATCTGCAAGCGACAACACCGTGAGAAACGGTAAAGCAGTCTGCTTTACCCTTTCTCACGGTGTTGTCGCTTGCAGATTTCTTATACTTTTTCTTCTACCCTGAAGATGGGGGCGATACGTTCCTCCGAAACGTCGGTTAACACCACATATACACGGTGCCAAATCCCAGAAGACTGCTTTCTTAACAAGCACATTTTAATTATTTAATTTTAGTCATCAAAGTCACTTTTTTCAGAGGTGTGGCAGCTTCTTTCATTGATGTAATAGCACGGTTAGGAATATGAGTGTGTATTCATAGATGGCTTGTTTAAAATTCCGAGCCTATAAAGTGGATTCAACGAAAATATTTCATCCTCTGAATCCCAAGATTTTGATTAATTCTCTTTTTCAGCAGCAACTTAAGATGGGTAAATGTCCTAAGCACATCTAGAATTTCTGTACTAGTCAAGATACTGCAACTATAACCTGCCGACGAAAGAATTACAATTGTAGTTGACGTGATCATACTTCAGATATAAAACCAATTATTCAAATAACATCAGAAGTTCCAAATTATTGCCTTAAGCTCTGATAGTGCATATTATCTAAGGGCTGATTCAAACCGTAAGAGAAGTTAAACATTTCCTTTGGAGATATTATAACATAAGAATAAAATAAGGAAATTATTCATATAGAATATTGTCCTAATTACTTTCATGTTAATTACGTCTGTTCTGCTGCAATTATTCCTGTAGCCTCATGAAGGCCGTGGAGCTAAGACCACGGGCGAACCTCATCACTTGAAAGCAGAGATCAATGTTACGCTTCCATCCTGGATCCTGCTTGTGCAGTCCAAAAGTTCAGACACACTCACATAGCCAAGGGAGTTTCTGAGTCATTAGAGTGTTTTATTTCTTGGAACTGGGTTCCTTTTAAAGGTTGGTCATTAAACTTGAGAAATTTGTTCTTTGTGTGAGTATTGTCACGTGTATGAATGACTCTCAGAGGGGTTCGGATTGGACATAGGATTTATTGACTACTTACAGGTCGTAACTACACTATCACTAATTTCCACACTTTACAAATTACTACATCACACGCTAAGCCTTTCAGTCCGCTTTCATTAGTAGTTTCCTGGTAACGGATTTTAACACTGTGACTATAACAGTCTCACTGAATTAGACACTCCAAATATTAATATAACTACAGCATACACGAAGTCTCCTCTGTCTTCATTAGTCGTTTCCTGGTAAAGGATTATAACACTGTCCTCTTAAGCAGTGCTTGAGGTGGAATGAAAAGAGAACCGGGATGGTTTTCCCAAAAAAGGTATTGTACATTGCATTTACTGCCAAAGAAGTAACGGGATGCTTTTAAGCCATTTAGAAAAGAACCGGGATGCCATCCCGCCCCACCTCAAGCCCTGCTCTTACGTCCTTACCGTCTGGCACATATCCCACAGTTGAACTGCACCGACTTAGGGCCCCCGTACACACACAGTTTGGCCTCCAGTTCGGCCTGCACAGTTGAAGACTGAAAGGCAAAACTGACGTGTGTGGTCCGGCCGGCCGGCCAATCGTTTGGACTGTTGGCCTGTGGGAAACCCGTCAGGCCGTCAGTTCTGCCTGCAGGACCGTAGCACGTGACGTGTGTGACTCAACATTATAGGCTGGAAGACCGTGATTGTGGCATGAAGCCTGCCGCTTTATCTGCGCGTGTATGGGGAGGAAAGGGAGGGGGTAAACTGTCACAGTTTTGCCTGTAAGGTCGATCGGAAGGCCAAACTGTGTGTGTATGGGGGGCCTAAGTCTTCTCTACACAGACTCTCTTACGTTTCTCTCAGTCCTTCAACTGATTAACTCGCAGGCTGGCGACCATTTCACACCATCTTCCTAGTCTTCTCTTCGCAGACTGGCTTTCAACTGACTCGCTCAAGTCAAAGTTACTTTACGACGGGCGGTTTACCGCCAATCAAGTTCGTCTTGGTGTCAAGCCTATTTAGACCCACGACCAGAGTTTTATTCAACAGAACACTTGCGTTAATAGTCCTTATATAACATCATCTCTGACGAGAAGATGGGTTTCCATGTTAGCATGTTATTGGAAATTCTTCCTTTTTCACTCCACACAAGTCCTCTGGCAATACAGGCTTTGCAGAGCATATCATGCCTATCATACTTATCTTATGCTACAACGGCAGCTTAGTCAATCGAACGATCG